GGAGACGCATGAAGCACTCAGGTTCAACCAGACCCTCCTCCTTTTACAGCCGGGCTTGGGACCGGTCTTAGCGGAGTTACTACTGTGTACAACTGACATAATTACTTAACGTCTGGAAAGACGGATATGTGTCAACGAAAAACAAAATGGTTGCTTTTGTGGCTAAAGTGTTTTAAAGTTGAGGCAGCCAACCTCAGGCCCTTCCATGTCTTTAATCGCATCTTACGACACACCTGGTAGGGTGCAGTGCTACTAATCTTTGATTTTCTGGTATACTACGGTAGCCCAATGGCGAATGATGATGATCATCATGTGCCTTGCCAACTGCCATGTTCGATCATCATTTTTTTCTCTCCACAGCATTTGATCTCCAACAGCATGCGTAGGTGACACCCCTCCCTGCTTTGACACAAAGCTGCTAATAATCTTCTCGTGTTATCCTCCTCTGACTCTCTGTCCTCGAAATGAATCTTTCCAGTGGTCAGTGAGTACTCCAGTTTTCTATTTCAAGAAGAATCTTCCCCCCCCCCCCCCCCAAAAAAAACTATTGCTGCTCTATTCTAATCTTTGTGATAAGTTGTCTTCCGACCCTCGCCTCTTTCAAAACATTACTCATTATGGTTGTCGAAGTACTGAAGCTTCAAGAATTTGTTTGTATTGTTTGTCTATTTTCAGGATTAACAGCCGTAGTCAGCCTCCCCCCCCCCCCAACCCCCCCCCCCCCCCCCCAATATTTTACAGGATAAATGGCAGTGAATGTAAGAATACGAGCAAACAAAATAAGAGAAGTTTTGAGGCAACTGAGATGTGGTTCTTGAGATGAATGTTGTGAATACCTTGGACTGCCAGAATAACTTACAGAAATTGCATGGAAAGGGCTAGTGAAAGTAGAACATTATATGCAAAAATGAGACAAAGTTCTTTAGTCATGTAATAACAAAACACAAAAAAAAAGCACTGGATAAATAATGTGACAACTGGAAAGATCACAGGTAGAGGCGGAAGAGGCAGACCAAAAGAAATGATGGTGGATGGCTAAAGACAGTGGTATGGGGGGGGGGGGAGGAGATATAATCAGTGGAATTGATCCAGAGCAACAAAGACCGAGAAATGTGGAGATTCATGAACACCTACGCCAGCTGGCAAGGCACTTGATGATAATGATTTCAGATGATGAGATACCCAACTTCAATCTCTTCCCTGCCTTCAGTCGCCTCATTCTACATCTATGGCATGCTGCAGTATTGGTTACTATTCTTTGGTTTTTCCCATGGCCGTCTGTAACTACAGGAGGCTGTGGTTTGTATGAGGTTTAAGGAATGAACAACATATCAACAACACGCACACGCGTAGCAACCCTTAAGTGCTCCAATCTTCTTCTAACTTAAGTCTGAGTCCGAAGTGACAGCTCAGTGCACGCAATCCGTAGCACCGGCGAGTATCCTGAAATTTTTTATGTAGATTTTTAACTCAAAATTTTACCCGGGAAGCTCGATTTCCAAGGGATTTTTATGTGCCCAACAATACACACAGGTGTGCGATCTCACTACCAAGGGACAAGGGAAGATTACTAGAAGTCCACAGGGGAAAAAAACTCACTGGGGCCTGAACCCTGGACCTCAAGCACACGAGGCGGACACCATGCCTCGAGGATACGCAGCCCTCACTCGTTTTTGTGTACGTATGAGTGGTTTTTAAGGGCCCTGTAACATTTAGGCGACCCGGCTCCCTAGCGCAGTTGGCTAAACCGGACTATGCAGCGACCGGGTGACCAGCTCCTTGTGGTCCGAGTTCACTACTAGGATTAGGCAAAAAAGCCACATTTCTCCCAGATTTACAGTATCTATAATGAAATAAAAATCGAAGGGTTGCTATATCCATAATGCCGAACCTGAGGGTTAACAACTAATGGCTTCTAGAAACTTTAAAAAAACATACAGGCAAATGATGATGATGAAGGATTAGCAGACATCCGGTTGTAGAACTTCCTGTCCGACTCAGACGCCGTTCTTACGAACTAAGAGACTAACGCGCTAGTTTAACTTCAAGGTAATGTAGCCATGCTTTTCTCGTTTTTTTTTAACTCTCTGGAATTAGATTTGTATGTTTTTAATATAAATAACATTATTTTGTTAACTTATGTAATAAATTGCTTCTTATTCTGAATTACTGGATGTTATGAAATATATATTTTACGTTTGTTTTAATAATTGTAAAGCCAGAGTAGTGGATGTTTCAGTTTCTCGTGACTGAACAAAATGGTGTGTGACCTACTTGAAGTCAAGTAGCCACGCTTGTGACATGGCATGACTGATCAATTTAATCATTTAATCGATGCTAAATTTAAAACTTTACATAGACTTAGCTAGTCAGTTATGTCTCCGAAACCTGATTGAATCCACTGTTCTTGAACCGTATGGGGTAAGAAGTGTATTTTGGAAACGTTATTTTTTCAATGAAAATTTGTAGGAAAAAAAAAGTAAGTAAGAAAGTGAAAGAGTGAAGTGGACTTGGTGGGCAGTTTCCTGCTTGCTGTAACAAAGAGAAACTAATTATATGACTTAACCGTGAATACGATAATTATATTATCATGTTAATCGCTTGCCAGTTATGGCATGCATAATGCATATTTATAAATAAATAAAATAGCATTCAAATTCATAAAATAAGATTTTTTGTTTGTTCCAATCTCAGTATTTTTAAAATTGCTAAGTTACATTTGTGTAGTTTGAGGTTTTAAACAACAGATCAACATCATGGCACACGGGTGTAACCCATAAGTGCTCTGTTCTTTTGAATCAAGTCTTGAGTTGAAAAAACAGTAACAGTAACACAGGCTCTGTAGGTACTGTAGCAGGATCCTGAAATATTGTTATTGTGGGTAAATTTTTGCCTGGGCTGCGCTGTCAGGCCACTCTTTCCGATTTCCAACTGCTAAGGCATTTTTTAAGAGAAGAGCGCAAAAATGCACAGGGGCGTCTGATCACACTATCCAGAGACCAGTTACAATTACTAGAAATCACACATTAAAAAATCCAGCTCTCCTTTGAATCAACCCCCAAAATGGCGGCTTTAATATGATGGCATTCGAAAGAGAGCTAAACTGGCCAATTTCTTGCCATAAAAATGCGGGTCAGTTCTATTAAAAATATATGTGCCTGCGCCGGATAACGAAACAAATGCTCTGACAGGGTTTCTGCGATACGTTACTTACTGTACTGCTTCTGCGAGCGTGCCTCACCGCCGAGCGTATCCCCTGCCACGTGCGACGCAGATGGGGACTAAATGGCTGGGACTCGCGAGCAGCTACCGCATCTCCTGCAACTTCCTCCAATTACTGTACTTGCGAGTCCCAGGCGCCTAGTTTAGTCCCAATCCACGCGACGCGGGGGATACGCTAGGCGGTGAGGCACACTCACAGAAGCAGGTCGGCAAGTAACGTATCGTCTGCAGAAACTGTCGTATTTATTGTCTGCTGCTATTTACTTACTTACTTAGTCGCTCCTCTTTTACCTTGAGGTGTAGAAGTTTGCCAGAGAGATCGCCAGACGTTGTCTGCTACTAATACCGTGTGCCATGTTCATATTGTCAAGTAATCCTAGTTTTGCCGCGATTTGTTCCTTGGCAGAAAGTCAGTATTTTAGATATACGTGAACACCGTCGTTCGGATATTTTTGGATATTTTATGGCCAGAATGTGTCATGCCACCATTTTTGGGGTTGATTCAAAGGAGAGCCAAAAATCCCAACCCTTACCATGGATTGAACCTGGAACCTCTAGCACTCAAGGCAGACATTTGAGACATCATGCCTTGAGACCACAGTAAACACTGTTAGTGTTACTAGTTAGTTAGTAGGGAAGTGAAGAAGTTTTTTTACTGCTTTATTTTATGCTCTGTTCAATTATGCTCTCTGTTAACATTTATCCTGCAGAGAGAAACCGAAACTTGAAACTCTGTACTATTCAGTAGAATGTAGTTACAGATAAACATACATTTTCAGGTATTATGTTGTCATTAAAATCATCTTTGCCCATTTCACATTAGGAATTTCAGTGGGTGCTTGGTTCCCCATTGGAGCAAGCCCTCCAAGGTACCTCCTTTACTGATTGAGATTGTTCCCATGAGTTTATGTGTCCTTTTCCTTGAAGACAGCATAGACGTGCTTTATCGAGCTTAGACTTCTTGCTCGTGCAATCATGTTAGCATAAGAGATTTTACTTGATCTCTAATCTAGTCGCTACATTGTTAGTGTTGATGATTTCAAAATGTACGCAGACTAGGATGTGCAACAGTATTGCCTGACTTGTTGCTGTATGACATGGATAAGGGAGGTAACCCTAGGGATGCACTTATGTTCAGCATGTTTATTTTATTGGTCATTATCATCAGGCTTTCAGTTTATCACGATAAAACAAATGGACGTCAATTAATGCAACAAAACCTGGCACATGAAACATCTAGTTCAAGAGTGGAGGTGGAGGCTGTCACTACACTACAGCATTCCTCTGGCTTGAGAGAGCCAGTTGTGCACACATTTCACAGTTGTAACTGACTCCTAGAACATGTTGAAAAGTGACATGTTCCATGCAGAATGGCATTTGAGGTTCCAGGCAGTTAGCTTCCTTTGGATATTTTCTCCAGATCATGCGTATGTTCTGAAACAAAAAGGCAGGCAGACCGGCTGGTTCTGCACTACTTGATGGTGAATTGATGCATGACAGGCTAGATGTAAGGGTTGTTTGAGAACAGTCTTGAGGCACACATATATCCTCACTTTCTGGTGCTGGGGAGAATGAGGATCTAGACACACAGGATCAGAGAATCTGGCCAATGCTTTGCATTTAAGGGAGGACCAGACAGCTGTAGACTTTCTTAAAACTGTGTTTGCTGCTGAAGATGACTGTCCCCAGTACTGTGGTCGGTGATGTCAGTTCCTAATTCAACATTTAACATGATTTTCCATGATTGTATTCACAGTGACCTCAACTAAATAACCAAAATGGCAGAAGAAATGAGAGATATCCTTGACTATGATGATGAGGAAACAGAACCAGTAGTACAGGCCGCAGCTGGAGATACTCAAGTGAAAAAGGATGTTAAGGGAACCTATGTATCCATACACAGTTCTGGTTTTCGAGATTTCCTCCTCAAACCAGAGTTATTGAGAGCCATTGTTGATTGTGGCTTTGAACATCCATCAGAAGGTAACTTTAGTGATATTTTTTCTCTCTCCAGAATACATGGTAATGCTGGATACATGTTAAAAATCTCTATCCCAAGAGACTATTTTGGTAGAAGGGTAACAATGATCTATCTGGATAACCATGAATTTTTTCTTATAAATTACTTGACATCAGCTTATCATTATTTTTTTTCAAGCATGGCTTTGTTGACAGTTATCAGGAAAATAGAGATGGGTTGAGTTTAAAGACCTGTTGGTATCTCTGAATTGGTCATAGCTGTCAGATATAAGTTTATTTTTGTGCCAGGCTGACAATACTGAATGCTCTAAAGAAGGGTTCTCAACACTGTGATTCGCAACCCCCTTTTGGGGTTTGATCAAAGGTTGCCTAAGATCTTCGGGAAGCACATATTGACTGAAGTTATGCCGTAGCAATGACAATTTCATGGTTCAGCTGTTCCTCTGGTTACCCCATCACATTTGAGAGAGAAGTAAGAATCTTTGGTATGCTCTCTCTCTCTGTGTTGCATAAGTTAATCTTCATTTCTTTAAGGCTGTTTTTGATGCAGGTTGCTTCATCTTTTGCATTTGGTACTATGGCGTTGTCAACAAATGATTAAACTATATATATGTCCCCCCTTAATTAATTGTATAACCCAATTCAGTCCTAGTCTATAGTTTCTTTAATTTTAATTTGGTTTGTTACTTTAGCAGCTTTTCTAAGACGTTTCATATTATGAGACTTTAGTTGTAGGGGTTGGTAATTGACAAGAGGTAGTTACTTAACAAACTTCTGAAATTATTACACCTGAATACTAAACTGCTTCTTCGCGTTCACCAGCTTTAAAATCTGACGGAAACCTGTTGTTTTTTTGTCCACTTCTAGACTCTAGTCCTAACTGAGTGTTGCGTACACATTCATTTTACAGGTCTGACTCATTTGCATGCAGGCTGTTGGTTCCTTGCCTCTCATACAGATGTACTCAACTTTGAAGGATAAATTATATTTGTACTATGTAGTGAAGCTTAAAGGGAGGAACAGCTGTATGGTCAACTGGAGCTAAGGTATCAGGTGAAAATAAATTAATGCACATTGTAGCCATTATTTTATATGGACACAACACATCAAACAGAATAAGCGAGAGCACTCCTGGCAAAATGATGAAAATTTATTTAGGCTAGAGATCTGAGCAAAGCTAAATTCTGCCTTGATATTCTTCAATAATTCTGATTGCCATAGAATGACTCTATAAACCTAAAAGTTTTGGGTGCACATCTGTTTTACAGATCTGGCTTATTTGTTTGCAGACTGTTGGTTACCAGCCTCTCATGCAAACATGCACCAACTTCGAAAGGAGCACCCGTAATCAGTTGCCTTGTACTTGGCAACGAGTCTGTTTACCCCCCCCCCCCCCCTCCCAAAATTGGGCCTTGAAATCACTACAGAAGATTCTTATATATTATTAATCACCCCTTTGTTCCTTTCTAACTGCATTTGCATGTTATAAACATTAGAACATGTCACCCTTCCGTCTTCACGTATGTTTTATTTGGAGTATATATGTTTTATATGGATGCATGGGGATTACAGCCCGTAACAGTGAATAATTAAGGCCAGGGCTGAAATTCTCCTGTGCATAGAGCAAAGTCTCAGCAGCATTTGGAGTTCGTAGACGACCCTGAGACCCCGGGAACTGCAAGGTCACTCTCAAGACTTAAAAAAGATGAGACTTCTATAAAAAACTGACGAAAAACCTGGAACTTTGCCCACCAAACTTTGAACTTTACACACCGTAACCAGGACATGAATAACAAAAGATAATTTTATGTGATTTTCAGCAATTGGGCTTGCATTTTTGCAGTGATGCTGTTTAAATTGATCATTATGAAACGCGATAGCTCACGGTCTCATTGTTTGTTTAGCCGGACAGTGCCGAGTGAGCTATCTTTGTCCTTCTCTTCTCGCTACCTCTTCCACCTCTCACTCCCTTCTTTTGGAGTAGCAATGACATCTGGTGCTCGTGTAGAACAGAATTTGGACCAACTTTTTTCTTATACTATTGTCAACTTCCGTACATATTCTGGCAGTGTGATGAAAATATTTTAGGCTAGAGATCTGATCAGAGCTGTAAAAGCTTGATTTGATATTATGTTTAATTTTCTGATTGCCATAGTACAGTCTAGATCATAGGGGACTCTAGTTTGATATTTATTCTATGTCATCTTTATGATAGTGGAATTTATGCTCAAGTGAATTGCAGCAATGTTAGCTGGAGAAAACTCATGTTTTTTTTTTTTATATATACCTCTTGTTCTTGTTCTCTCTTCTTCCCCCCCCCCCCCCCCCCCCCCCTCCTCTGCCACACACACACAACTGATTCGGGCATTCTGTAAATAACTTCTTCCCTATAATTATAAACTAGATTTGCGTGCTCAGTAAATAACATTAACTTGGACGTTGTTAACAAAAGATTTGGACAATGAAGAGGACCTCCAAAAGGTCACTAACAACACTGTACGAGACAGTGTTACGAATACCAGCAATAGAGAGAAAGTTAAAATAAGATCATGTCTTGAATTATAATGGCAAAGAAAGAATGAAACGGTTCGGCCATCTGGTAAGAATGCAGCCAGACCAGACTGCATATGAGACTTTTTACAGTAGAACATCTGGGAGGAAGGCGAGAGGAAGACCAAGAAAGTATAGATTAATGGTGTAGATTAAACCTGCAAATACAGAAAACCACGACACTGGGTTACAACTTGGTAACAGTGTGATGACAAAAGAAGAAGGAAAACAAAATATTCTCTCCACCCCCCACGACATGGACATATCATTTTCTGAACCATTGTCAACCTCTGTCCATATTCTGGCAATGTGATGAAAATATTTTAGGCTAGAGATCTGATCAGCGCTGTATGAGCCTGTTGTGATATTATGTTTAATTTTCTGATTGCCATGGTACAGACTCTTGTATTCTTCTTCTTTGCGTTCACCAGCTGTAAACTCTGGCAGAAAGTTCTGGTTGTTTATGCACTTTTGTTCTGCAATCCTGTTCCATAATCTAAGTGTTGCGTGTGCATCCATTTTACCTGATCTGACTCATTCGTATGCTGACTGTCGGTTTCTTGCCTCCCAGGCAGATGCACTCAGACTTTGAAGGAAGCTCCCAATTAGTCTACTCTTACGACATGCTTTTGGGTAGGCAGTAGGTCTATTCTTGTTTTCCCTATAACAGGGCCCCAGAACCCACACGGGGAGCTCTTGTATTCAACAAGTGAGCCTCTGATAATCCCCGTCATGATTTGCATGATACTGCCAGTTTTCTACTGTCATAGTTGTGGTCCTGTTTTTCTTTTTTTTTTCAGTCAGTTTTAAGGTTAACGAGGCTGTCATGAGTTCTTCATGTATGCTGATTCGACCCAAGATGCTCCAGAAATATATTATCTTTTTCCTTTTGGGCAGCCTTCAGAGATTTAAAATGTCCAACTGCCAGGGATTTTCCAGTGTGCACATAAGTAAAGCAAAAAAAAATGTGTGCTTATCTGAAACAGCTTAGTGTAATTCCAAAGAACTTATCTTGTTTAAATTTGGGAAGTCGCTGTTGTACATTGTCTGATGCTGTCTGTGGCTTTGCCAGTTGCTCTGCAGCAGGAAGAGACTGATCCGGATGGGATAAAATATGGTGAAATTTATTTTTTTTAAATTTAGGGTAAGGATCTGAAAAGCCTATATGACTATTTGAGTTATAACTTCTTAGTCAAACTGGTCCCCTGTTTATTGTGTCATTTGCCAATCCGATTGAATTTTCTATAAATTTGATTACCTTCGAACAAATGTTCTCATCATTAGCTGGAAAGAGATGTAACAGGCATTGCTTGGCAACATGATGAAAATATATTTAGGCTAGAGATTTGAGCATGACTGAAATCCAGCTGTGATATTGCTTCATTTTTTCTGATTGCCTGTATGTGCTAATAATCCTCTCCCACATATTATCACCGTATCTTTAAGTGTTTCTCTGTCAATTTTCTCTTACTTGTGACATCAGCAGGTAGCTACATATTTGGGCTTTTCTGGTCCTGTGTAGGTTCTATTGCCCCATTGGGGAAAGGGGGGGGGGATAATCTGCTCCTCTAGCAAGTATTTTGTAAAAGTCAACTAATGAGGGTTGTGGTCTTCTTCAAAGTGAGAGTCTATCTGCACGGGAGGTGAGGAACAGGCAGTCTTTTATACAAATAAGCCAGATCTGTGGCAAGGTGATGAAAATATGTTTAGGCTAGAGATCTGAGCAGGGCTAAAATCCTGTTGTGATATGGCTTCATTTTTCTGATTGCAGCAGTGCTGATTTTTGTATCTTGTTCAGAACAGCAACTTATTGTGCCCCCCCCCCCCCCATATTTTTTGTTCTAAACCAAAATCCAGATTTGTTTGTTTTATGAATCTGCTTATGTTAGAAGCTGACCTTCTTACCTCTAGATTTCAGTTGAATTTTCCCCTTCCTAAGTAACCATCATTACTCTTGTTCTTACACGCTGAAAATGAAAAGGTTTTTGTGGATGTAACTGACAACATTCAATCTGGCAAAGTGATGAAAATACATTTAGGCTAGAGATTTGAGCAGGGCTGAAATCCTGCTTTGATATAAAGATCTTCTGATTGCCATAGTGTGAACTTTTTGGCTATTCTTAACCCTGTTTGGGATAGTACCTTTTACTAATGTTGGTGCTTCATCATCATCACTGTTGTGCAGTTTTTGTCACATAGTCTCGCAGTCCACACCTTCATTACTTTCTACCCTGATCAGTTGAATATATATATATCATGGACGATGGAATTCGGTACAGCACTTTTGGCTTTTCTCAGTCAGTAACATTCATTTTTAAGGTGTCCATGACTCCTCAATTCCTTTATTTCCCATTTTAATGCCTGTTTAGTGATAGCTCGTTTTTCTCCAGATGTGTCCAACATAAAGCCATATAATTTCCACTTTCTAACTCAAAGCAAATTCCTTCATCAGCCATTTCGTTTCACAAGGAAGATGCATTTTTAATTATTTACACTTCAGCCAACCATAGATTATTGAGATTTGTGGAAGCGACCGCTGTATACTAGTTTAGTCCAGAAAATGCAGACAAAAGAACATGTTCTGCACCCTGCACTTAACCGTGGCAGTTTTTTTTTAAATTTAGTCGATTTTGTGTTTCACTTCCAAGGATTCATTTATTTACTTAATTCTAATCACAGTTGTTTCTGTAATATGCATGTAATGAGATACCACAAAATGTGTTAGGCAAAAAATTGCGCCATTTTGTTTGTGTCCTCTTGTTGAAATGCTTCATAATTGTTGGCGCTAGTGGTTGCCCAGATAATTCTCTTATTTCTTCAGCCCTTTTGAATTCGTGCCATTTTATTTTCATCTCTTTCCTCTGACATTTATGGTACAAATGCATTTAATTTTTGTACCAGGCCTTTAGTGAATCTCTAGCTTTCGCTGGCATAGGTTTTATTGAAATAACATAGTATTGAAAATACATAACTTGGTTGTAAAACTACAATTCAGAGTTCCATATTTTGTCCAGGCTATAAAAAGCTGCTGATGCCTTGCCAGTGTGTGTCATAATGCAATCTCGATGATTAATGCTCGTAAAATAAAGTATTACCCGCTTTTTGCTGTGGGTATCGACAGCTTTACGCATGGCACGCAGCGCTGCCAACTTGCAAGAACAAGCCTGCAAGACTGACAGAAGAAAAAAAGAATACTGCCTGTTGCAAGAACTTAACACAAATTCTGAACGGAAATTGCAGACCTGATAAGAACTCACCTGAGACCCATTGACTTGATGTTCATAACTATTTGTTTTGTTAACCCTTGAAGCAAGAAGCTGTGTAAAGTTGTTGTTGTCAAAGGATGATTCTAATAGAACCATGGCCCTTTTTTTTTTTTAGCGTTGCCGGAACAAAGGGGTTAATCACAACTAAACATTGTGTTTTACACATCCTTCCAGTATCTAAGAATATAAAAGGTCACCTGTGTATTGAAATTGTTTGTGAACATCTTGTTAAAGTTGCTTGTTATTGAGCTTTTTAAGCACACCTGAAAATACTTTCAACACATGTGGCAGAATGATGAAAATGTTTAGGCTAGAGATCTGAGCAGACCTGTCTGTTTTGAAATCACATTTAGTATTTCTGATTGCCATAGTAAATCTTCATTTAGGCGTGTCACAGATCTCTTAATTTAACCCGATCTCCAGCGAAATCGCAAAACCAACACTTCTGTTAATCATTTGACTTGCAAATGACATGAAGCAGCTTGACGTGGAACTCAACTTACAAGCATTCTTGAGAACTTTCAACTTAGTCCAACCTCTGCGAATAACTATTTTAGGTCTACCTCTGCGAGTAACTCTATTTTAGGTCTACCTCTGCGAATAACTCTATTTTAGGTCTACCTCTGCGAATAACTATTTTAAGTCTACCTCTGCGAATAACTCTATTTTAAGTCTACCTCTGCAAATAACTCTATTTTAGGTCTACCTCTGCAAATAACTATTTTAGTCCAAAAAAATTAGGCCCACCGCCGTTCAGAAAATAGAAATATTCTACAGCTTTTGCATATCTCGCAAAACATTATTTATTAGTGTTGGGCAAAGTGACGAAAATGTTTAGGCTAGAGATATGAACAGTGCTGTCATGTCTGTTGTGATACTGTATCATTTTCTGATTGCTCTAGTATACACCCCGGTTTTTTTTTAATTATATACTTTAGCACTTTTGATGACTATTTTCCATGTATGGTCTATTTTGGGGGAAATGAGAATGGATCTTAACCCCCCACCCCCCCTACCCACACCACCAACAAGCTTGTCGCAGAAAGAATAATTAGGGGTGCTCCCTTGAAAGGTTTTGAGTACATCTGTCTGGTAAGCGTACAAATAAGCCAGATCTGTGAAACGGACGTGCACGTGAAACTCCAGTTTTGCGACAAGACCAAAGTTCAGAAGTGATCGAACAGCAGATCTTTGCACTGAAGTATACGGCCGGTCAACGCACAGAAAAAGCTATCCCTTTTTTGCCCTCCGAATTAAATTTCGTAACCAAAGTATAGTCACAGAAGTGCGACAGATGTAGTCATCTATTAGCTCATTAGTCTGGTTGGAGACTAGTCTTGAAATCTCTCTACTGCTGGCAGTATTTTTCGTAACAGTATGAACTTTGACCCAATGTAACCTTAGAATATTGAAATGTTAATATATATTTAGGTAGGCTGCGTTTACTGCGATATAAACCTGTTTTAGTGTTTCAGTGAAATGTTTACCCTCCATATGGTCTTGTTACAGTTCAGCATGAGTGTATCCCACAAGCCATCCTGTCCATGGATGTCCTGTGTCAAGCCAAGTCAGGCATGGGGAAGACAGCCGTGTTTGTGCTGGCCACGCTTCAGCAGCTGGAGCCCGTTGATGGACAGGTGCGTGCATCTTTATGGCATTGGTAGCTATGTCTATCCGCAACCTTGTATCTCATGTTCTTTCAGTCAACTCTTATACATATGATCCTTTATGCTATGAAGTCAGACTGCAGGCATCTTTTCTCTTGGTCTCCTTCTGCCTCTCTTCCCCTCTATCTTTCTTACTGTCCATCTTATGACTTGACCACAGAATGTATATTGTATCTTTCTAATTGTACAGATATGACTTTCTCTGCAAAATACTCAGTTTTTTTTCTACAAGAGCAGTGACCATACTGTGGGTCGTCTCTAGCCATTGCACCTTTAGGTAATCAGTGCTGCTCACCAGCTGCCGGCCATGACTTCACGTAACCCTCATATGAAGGGGGGGGGGGACGCTAAGTGGATACTTTGCTCAAGGGGTATCCCGCAAGCTAGCAGACGGAAGGAGGTGCCTTAAATGTCCTGTTGGTAGGCTTTAACCTACCGCTACCCTGTACCTACCTTACTCATGTGTATATAATCTCTACTCTTCAGTTATAGTCTACTTATGTAAAGTGGTTGTTGGTATTAGGGGCTGTCCAGTCCACCATTACATGGTGGAATGGTTTATGCAGAGTGACATTATGGGGAGCTTGAGAGATCTTTCCTTAATGTATCTAATTCGGTGCAGTCCTGGAGTACATGCTGTGCTGTGTGGGGCACCTTTCCACAGGTGCACATGGCTGATACGCCTATCTTGAATTTTGTGTACATGTGGTTACAAAATCGGTTGTGTCCTATTTTGAGGCGGAGGATAATGATTTGTTCTGATCTGTCCATAATAAATTGGTCGTCTTGTGCTGGGGCTGGTGGTTTCCTGATCGATTTAATGATTCTTTTCTGTTGGTGGTATGTGACTGGTACATCCGGCTGCACTTTTGTCACACCTTCCCCTACCAGTTGATCAGCTTCCTCATTTCCAGGCACTCCACAATGAGACGGTATCTATTGCATTAAAACTCTGAAGGCTGAGTTGTCTCAGCAGTGTTTGCAGTTCTGGTAGTTTCCTAGACTAGAGTGCTTCAAGTACAGATTATGCATCTGTCAGCATTACCACATACTGTGAGCCAAGATTGGTATTCAGCAGTTTCTCTGTTGCTATCTTGATAGCCTGAGTTTCTGCATCATAGTTTTGCTTGAGGGATAATTCCTTTTTCTTGCTTCTCCCTTATTATTTATGATGCATAAATGCGCAACCCTGGTGACTTTTGTGGAGTCAAACAGATAAAGGGTCCGTGTAATTTTTAAAGGGGTGTCCTGACTACTGGAAGCCTCTGTTATGTTGACTCGACTCTGCAAAGAATTTCTTATTACGTATGTATCATGTAAGATTTTTCTAGCTGTCAAATTAATTTGTGTGGGCCCACCTGGACAGTGCAGTTGCTTTGTACCTGTTTACAGTGGAGCATCTACCATCTGCTGACCGGGTTAATTTCCCAGAGGCTTACTTATTTTTTAATTGGCCTGTTGCTTTTAAATTTCCTTGAATAAAAGGTGTATAGCCAACTTATTTTTACCGACTGCTTCCATCAGTGACAAACTACATTTCTGGTGGTGACTGTTGGCATTGGCACCTCTAGCAACTGCCTTATACATTTTCTGTGTAAACACATTTCTAAATTTTGCTTTGCAATTGCTTGCTCACCAGATTTTCAAATAGACAGCGAGTGACAAATTTATTTGATTTTCACTGGCACATGAATAGAACAAGTATGGGGTGACCAGATTAAAACTTTGACTAAGACTGGTGTTTCACCCAATTGTATTTTCAAGTTTTTTTTGTGTGTTTTTTACACAGGTGTCTGTTCTGGTTTTGGCCCACACAAGAGAGCTGGCATTCCAGATCAGCAAGGAGTACGAGAGATTCAGCAAGTACAGTAACAATGTGAAGATTGCAGTCTTCTTTGGAGGGATGAACATCCAGAAGGATGAAGAGGTCTTGAAGAAAAACTGTCCACACATTGTCGTTGGCACTCCCGGAAGAATCCTGGCCCTGGCTCGTTCCAAAGTCCTGCCACTGAAACACATCAAGCATTTCATCTTGGACGAGTGCGACAAGATGCTTGCGGCCGTCGGTACGTTGTCTACGCAGTTTTTCTTTCTTTTTTTTTTCAGCATCATTCAGGGGATCTTAGTACCTTGACTAATAATTTACCCGAAGTGTAGTTTTCCTTATGGGGTGCCCCTGTTTGGGTTCCTAGGTTCCATTTTAGAGAACAGATAATAGACTCTCTGCCCTCCCCAACTCCCTAATTTTCTTTCAATTTGGATGGCACTTGTCGGAGAGGCAATGGTTTGCAGTTGATGTGAAGTACCTCATAATTTTCATTTTTTTTTACGTCAAGCAGTACCAATTATGGTGAGCTGTTCTATACTTTCTTCTTTGTATTTTGCTATTCAAATAAACTCTTTTGTTGTTCTCTTCCCCTGGGCCCCTATGGGGGGGGGGGGGGTAAACCCACTGCCAGTACCACCACCCCTCAAGCATGTTGTACAATCAACTAATTATGGATGTTTCACTAACAGCCTGCATACAAATACACCATCTATGCAAAATGGACACGTGCAATTATCCAATTCTAGAACAAGACCAGAATCAAGAGGTGAACGAACTAGAATTTTTCACTGAAGGTCCCCCTGTGAGTGCTAAGGTTTGTTCTATTTGGTTGCAGAGCCTGCCAAAAGAGCCACTAAAAAAAGAAAACTAAAATGTTGCACCTTTGAAATTAACAATCCGAAAATAATCCAGCAACATTTTGTGTAGCATAACATCCAATTACTGCCAAGAAAGTTAGCAGCCAGATATCTTCTAGAGTGCTTGAGTTAGAGTGATTGTAGAAAAGTTAGAGAAACATCTGGACTGTCACTTCAATCAACTTTTTTTTAAAGATATATTTTAGCAGAATATTGGGTGCCTAGTATAATAAACACAAACTGAATCTCTAAGAGGCACTTGGTTGAAAAAAGGTCAGAGATGCTGAGTAGGATTCCACCTGTAATGTCGAAAGGATTACACTAAATAGACCGGAATGGAAGAATAAACTGTAAGCCCTACGTGACATAAAACAGAATAACGATGATGAGTCAGTGAGTGATTCTGTACAAAGATACCAAAGCAAACACGTAGAAACAGCAGGATCAGAAACAGAGGAACGTTGCGGCTAAATAGCTTTTATCAGCACATCACATGAGTTAACAGTATTACATTTATAAACAAGAATACACAACACTTTCTTTAAGATGAAAACTAGCCAAGAGAGACACGGAAGGCAAAGACCATAACTGGAAAAATTGATAACGCTAAAGTACTTTAAATAAGATGGACCTCATTCTTCTTCTTCTTCTGCATTCCAAGCCCAGGGTTAATTGGTGCAGATATCACCCGTCTGCCTTCAACTCTCTGGCTTGTCTATTCTTTCCAGTTGGTGACACCAAGTGTTTGCAGATCTGTCTAGATATTATACCTCCATCGTCTTCTTGGTCTGCCTTGTGGTCTACGGCCATTTATCTCCCTCATGTATACAGTTTTTTTTTTTACTTATCCGTCATCTGATATTCTTTCAAAATGCCCAAATGATTTCAGTCTATTAGATGGACCTCACTGGATAGATACATTGAGATTGTTTGGAGTGACTTGGCATCAGAAGCAGCTAGACGTCCATTGTGTTAGATTAAAATGGATGCTGAGAGATGTATGTCTACTGTCTCCGATTTTTCAACTAATCCTGATTTGTTTATTAATAGACTACTGTTTGGTTTGTTTGGACAGATATGCGCAGTGATGTTCAAGAGATCTTCCGCATGACTCCACACGAGAAACAAGTGATGATGTTCAGCGCCACGCTCAGCAAGGAAATCCGTCCTGTCTGCAAAAAGTTCATGCAAGATGTAATTCAGTCCTACCATCATGAATCCTCCTGTCAGTGTTTTACCCCCTCTCGCCGTAACTGGCGGTTGATTCCCCCATCAGCAACCTCTGCAGGTGGTGATCCCTATCTTCCAGCAGCCGGATTAGCTACATGTACTTGGTCGGCATGCTGCACATACTGTCCAAGCTGAACACACCCTGTCCGTGAAAAACAACACAATTTTCGTTGATTACCACTTTAAAAACTGCAAGGTGTAGATATTCATAGTCGCACCCTAAAGAAAGAAAACCAGACGGCACTCTGTACAATATAACCCTCCCTAAAATTTGTAATTCCTGAAGAATATTGATAGAAAGAATACAAAGCCTTCAAAGTGGCTGCATATACAATACTACAAACTAGATTATCCTTGCAGTTAATATAGAGCAGACATTACCCATACAGTACTAAATAGCTAAACATTATCTAAAGAAAGAATGCAAGATCCATCAAAATCTTTAAATCGCATACAAAACATCTTATGATAGAGAACATAATCACCTGTATAGTAGTAATAGAAAGTAACCAACACTGGAAAACTTAACACCAGAATATTTAAATCAAGCTTTTTCAATATTTATAAAATATACACACACACACATAATGCATGTATGGCCTACACTGATAACAGTTAACCGTAGTAGTAGGGACTGTCTAACCATTCTCCTTATGGTTGGCAGAACAAAGTCCCAGAGACCTCCTGCGCTGAACGCAAGGGGTGAACTGGGTCTTATAGATAGATGTAACCCACCACACATGTTCCAAAAACCAGGCATTTACCTATGTCTAGCTATAAAAACTAAATTGTAAACATTTGCAAAAAACTCAAGGATGCATCTTACATACAATCAGCTTTATAAAGCTTTAGTACAACGACCATGTTTGCAAAAGAAATTCAAAACAAGCATAAAAAATTTCAAGCACCCTACCCAAATACATTCAGCTATCAAATCTTTTCAGTAACAGAGCCGATTTGCAAACAAAGTTCAAATATTTAACTGGCAGTTCGATCAAGATGAACATAACACACAAACAGACACTATCATACATACAGACACAACGTCAGTAGCCGACTGCAGCGCTGGGAAGTTGATGGGTTGGAGATCACAACCTGGTTGGGACCACCTCACCGCTGATGCGTACTTGTGGCTTCACCGCGTGGGTTCTCGGTCACCTGACCTAGCTGTCCCATCATCAGCTGGCTGGAGTTGTTGTGAGGACACCCACTTCGGAAATGGTTGATGGTGTTTGTCGTCTTGTCTCATTGTCCCGTCAGTGTCTGTGAATTATTTATGTTGTAATTAATTTTTCAGTTCAATTATAACTAAACAAACTTTTGAGGTCAAGTGTTTGTGGCGGAGACCTAGTTGCCTTTAGACTTTCATATGTTTAGGACGATTCATTTTTATGGTTTTACCAGCTATCTTTGTGTTGTAAAGATCAGCAATTCCTTCTTCTTCTTTATCATTCCGGGCCTTTGGGGTGCATTGAATGGTGTTAAACAACAGATATGACCCTCCTCTGTTTATCTCACTAAGTGGCATCTGTTTCCAGTTGGTGACTCCACGTGTTTGCAGGTCTGCCTGAATATTATTTCTCCCTTCTTTTGTTGAGAGAGAAAAAAGTATCATTTGAGCTGGCTAGTTAGTGTGTACCCAGGGTGCTCTATCCATTCATCTCATCTTTGATCCTCTTGTACTTTGCTGTGTTGAGATTAAGAATTATTTACGGGCAAGTGCCTGTTTGTGAGATTCCCTCTGTCAATTTCCTTTATCTATCGCCCTCTTCTTCGCTTCCCACCTGGTCTGTACATCACTGATTGCTACATTCTACAATACAACCATTTCATCTGTTGTCTTATAATGAAATCCAGAGATGCTGCTCCTCCTCCCCCCCCCCCTTTTCCATTTTCCTTCAGGTCTTATTTCTTCTTGTTATATTGCGAGCTCTTCGCAGGAATCTCATTTCAGTTGTAGTTTTTATCTTCTCTCTTTTTCTGTCACTGTCCAAGGTCTGGCATTGGTAACACAGGGTTGGCTCGGTCCATTGTGCTCTTCTAATCTCGTTATGCGGTAAAACCTTGTTAACACACTCACTAAAGAGTATTCAGGTGATCACAATTTGGGTCTCCAGTTAGCGCTAACTTTGACAAGCTCAATTGTTTAGTCAGTTGAAATTTGTGCTAACAAATAGCTGAGGAGACTTTTGATGCCTTCTAATGGCCTGGGAAAAAAAAATTCACATCAGGTTGTCACTTAAGTTTTCCGTGTATTGGTAGTCTGTGTGCTTTTTTCTCTTACTGTAATAAGTTACAATGTTTACAGCTAGAAAGGGAATGAAACTTGTTTATGCTAGAGGGATGAAGAACTTTGGTTCTGGAACAAGTCCAGAAGTGGACAAACAACTATCGATGGCAGACATTAAGGAAAACCTTGGAAAGGAAGCATTGAAAGAATATGCGTAGATCTAAAAACATGTGATGTAGTAGTTTTAACACCAAATAACTGAGCGAATGGCAAGCTACACTCATTGTAGGCAGTCAGAGTTTGTAGGTCATTGAAACACCTGGCCAAATGCTGAAGAATGTGTAGGGGGGTGAAAGACTTTTCCCAGACGGATCCTGGTCAGAAAAAATTACTAAACATTGATAAAACAACAGTTTGACATTATCTCATTAGCATTATGTTGCAAATTTAAAAAGGGAATAGGAAAGGAAAAAGATGTAACCCCCAGGCTCACTTTCCTCTAGATTTCAGTTGAATATCTAAGCCACCATCCTCACAACTGACAACATTCAACCTGGCAAAGTGATGAAAATACATTAGGCTAGAGATCTGAGCAGGACTGAAATCCTGCTTTGATATTGATTAAGATCTTCTGATTGCCATAGTGTGACCTTTTTGGCTTTCCTCAAGGATAGTACCTGCCCTCTACTAATGTTAGTACATGTATATGCTGACAGATCTAAGTGGCAAGGATGGCAGATGAATGGAGGTGGGTGGTATCTACAGCAGCGAACCTCAAGGTCTCAGAATACGGAAGGAAAGGAAATACAGAAGGGAAGGTTGACTACCCACACTTCAATGGACTATCATAAAAAAAAAAAAAAACTGTTCAGGATCATGGCATTGATAAACAGCTGTATGCAAGTAGATTGCAGTGCTGCCCAGTAGCAGTACTGTCTGAAGCATGCATCTGGTTAATGTTTTTAGGTTTATATGAAATCACACCTGTCTTGGCCTGTGATGATTCAGTTTGTGACACGTACATGCTGGAGCCGCTGTCTACCAGTGTCTGGTCCGCCTTGTTTTTCTTGACAGTAATTCTTCTCTTGCAGCCAATGGAAGTCTATGTAGATGATGATTCCAAACTGACCCTGCACGGCCTGCAGCAACACTACGCCAAGCTGAAGGACAATGAGAAGAACAGGAAACTGTTTGAGCTCCTGGATGTTCTGGAATTCAATCAGGTAGGGTTGTGTGCTTGTGTTTGTTTGAGAATATTGTCTTAGTTTAGTCCGGTAGCTTTGTTTTTATGTTTCCTTTAAGAGCCAAGGAATGTTCGAAAAGAGTAGCCCAACTGGTGGTGGGATTATGTGATTTAATTGAATGTGCAACAACTGATTACTGCTTCTGACGACGATGAACTGCCTTTCCATTGCTGGACTGTTTGTGTTGGCCCTTCTGATGACTGTCACACTGTTGTGTGTATGCTATTGGCTTTGCAGAGACTGCCGTCTGCATCAGTTCATTTCACAAGGGATGGTGGTGGGCTTCCTGCTTGGTTTTCTTTGGCCCAGGAATTAAGCAACTGCGACACATATGCTCTGATGTTAAAACTGATTACCTAGTCTTAGAGTTTCTGTGTACATATCATTTTTGCATCACACGAAATGAACAATTTTCTTTTGCTGGGTATGGCAAGCTATCTTTATTTGGACTCATTGTTTGGCATTGACAGTGTGCTTTATTCTGACTTATTCACTCTGACTGTAGCTGCAGGTCATCTGGAAGCTGATTGCCTTGCATTGATTCTGGCGGGAATAAAGATCAGGATACAATGGGAAAACTACTTAACATACAAATACCTTGTGAAAACAGTATAGCCAGCGAATGCTGGGTTTGATTGGCATCTAAACTGTTTGGCAGACTGCAGATATTATATTTGATTGGTGTTCTTTGTGGTCCCCAGACTTTCCCACATCCGTCATTTTCAGCTTGGACACATGAAAGCTGTGAACTAGGTCTTATTTGTGCTAACGAGTGCTAATAATTTCTTTGCAGGTGATCATCTTTGTGAAAAGTATTCAGCGCTGCATGGCTCTGGCCCAGCTTCTGCAAGAACAGAACTTTCCCGCCATTGCCATCCATAGAGCTATGACACAGGAGGAGAGGTAAGGCTGCTTCATTCTTTTGTGAGAATACCACGTTTCTTCTTCTCACTCAGTGGCAAGAAATTGGCTCCTTCTCCTGAACGAACATTAAACATTGTGTGAGGTGTTTATAGTGATTCTTACATGTTATCAGAGTATACTGAAGATAAGGAGTTTACTTTGCCAGCCCAAAGGGATTTGGGTCGAGTCTAGAATATAAAGGCAGATTTTTAAAAATGGCTCCGAGAACGTGGTATGCGATGAACGTGGTGAAATGCACTGTGAGGTGAAGGCAGCATCCATCAAGTACTGATGTACACAACGCATTTAAAATGAGCAATCAGAGGTCTAGCTTTTCCTCATGTACCAATGAAAATGGTCTTTTGTTCATTTTAAATAGTAAAATCTAGCAGCCCTAATGACGACTTTCAGTGTATTTAACCTTTTTTTTATTTTAAGTAAACTGTTTTATTGAAATAAGATGTGGTCCAAACAAACATAAGTTTCTTCTCTTTTACCACTGTCTCTGAATGGAAGCTGCTGTGGCAGTTATTTAAAAAAAAAAAAAACTCTTTTTGCCAGTATCTGCCAGACATGGGAAATTTGACGGATTATGGGAACTGAGCCAGGGGTTGCTTTGTTGCTGTTAAATTGTGAAGTTTAACTTGCCGTTGACTCCTCCAATCAATTTTCTTTAAGTCTCGCTCTTGGTCTGTCTATCCACCTGTCTTTTACCCCACCAGGACATTACCCAGTGACACAAAGTGCCACCATGTGGATGAGAATTACCCGTGAAGAGGTCCCAGAAACGGCGTTCAACCATTAGACTATATTTATGGCCGGGCGATACTGTGGCTGCTGGCAAGAGCCTGAGCAGGGCTTCGAATAACAAAAAAATTGCATCCCAAAAAGGGGATGATAAGATGTACAAGCCTATTGGTGTTAAAGTTTTTTATTTTATTCGCTTTCACTGTCTCTGGAATCATTCTTTGCTGGGTAGCTGAAGAATTTGTCTTTGTTTATCAGTGAATTTAATAATGTGTGAGTGAATTCAATGATATGTGACAGACATGAATGACTACAATACTAAAGAAAAATGTGTGAGTGAATTCAGTGATGTGTGACAGACATGAATGACTACAATACTAAAGAAAAATGTGTGAGTGAATTCAATGATGTGTGACAGACATGAATGACTACAATACTAAAGAAAAATGTGTGAGTGAATTCAATGATGTGTGACAGACATGAATGACTACAATACTAAAGAAAAATGTGTGAGTGAATTCAGTGATGTGTGACAGACATGAATGACTACAATACTAAAGAAAAATGTGTGAGTGAATTCAATGATGTGTGACAGACATGAATGACTACAATACTAAAGAAAAATGTGTGAGTGAATTCAGTGATGTGTGACAGACATGAATGACTACAATACTAAAGAAAAATGTGTGAGTGAATTCAGTGATGTGTGACAGACATGAATGACTACAATACTAAAGAAAAATGTGTTAGTGAATTCAATGATGTGTGACAGACATGAATGACTACAATACTAAGAAAAATGTGTGAGTGAATTCAATGATGTGTGACAGACATGAATGACTACAATACTAAAGAAAAATGTGTGAGTGAATTCAATGATGTGTGACAGACATGAATGACTACAATACTAAAGAAAAATGTGTGAGTGAATTCAATGATGTGTGACAGACATGAATGACTACAATACTAAAGAAAAATGTGTGAGTGAATTCAATGATGTGTGACAGACATGAATGACTACAATACTAAAGAAAAATGTGTGAGTGAATTCAATGATGTGTGACAGACATGAATGACTACAATACTAAAGAAAAATGTGTGAGTGAATTCAATGATGTGTGACAGACATGAATGACTACAATACTAAAGAAAAATGTGTGAGTGAATTCAATGATGTGTGACAGACATGAATGACTACAATACTAAAGAAAAATGTGTGAGTGAATTCAATGATGTGTGACAGACATGAATGACTACAATACTAAAGAAAAATGTGTGAGTGAATTCAATGATGTGTGACAGACATGAATGACTACAATACTAAAGAAAAATAAAAAAAGTTGTTTCCTCTTGTGGGCTCTAGGACCACATTTTGGGTAGGAAACAATCGACCCCTTGCAGCGCCCCTCTACAACGAGCATGTTCTATAAAATATCCACTCAGAACACAAGTTCCACAACAAGACCAATGTCCAGAAATGGACAGACAACCAGAACTTTCCCCCTGCAATTTACAGCCATTAGATATTGCTGACATTTTCCATATTTGCTTGTGTTTTGTCACTAGGTTATCTCGTTACCAGTCCTTTAAAGATTTCCAGAAGCGTATTCTTGTGGCCACTGACCTCTTCGGCCGAGGTATGGACATTGAAAGGGTCAACATTGTCTTCAACTACGACATGCCAGAGAATTCTGACACCTACTTGCACAGGGTAAACAATTTTTTTTTTTTTAATTTTACATGTGTAAAAATGTAAAATTTCTCAATGGGGAAGGCAGCTAACACAACAGTATTTTTCCAGTTATCTAAAGTCTGCCTTTGACACTTTAGAACTTTCTTTAGCAAAGGTAGCTTAATCGCAGATTCAGCCTCAGAAGAGTTTGCTACTTGTTTTTGTTATCCACATCTGCCAATGATCTAGCCTGTGTGTGTATATTTAAGAAAATGAATCCGCATGTGTATTTGAGCAAATGAATCTGCATGTGTGTGTATTTGAGCAAATGAATCCGCATGTGTGTATATTTGAGCAAATGAATCCGCATGTGTGTAATTTTCAGCAAATGAATCCGCATGTGTGTGTGTAATGGTTGTAATCTCTGTTGCATGTTTTGTGTGTTGTCTAGGTCGCCAGGGCAGGCCGGTTTGGAACCAAGGGTTTGGCTGTCACTTTTGTGTCGGATGAGACTGATGCCAAAGTACTGAATGAGGTGCAGGAGAGGTTTGAGGTCAACATCACAGAGCTGCCTGATGAAATTGACATCTCTTCTTATAGTAAGTCACTTTGTTTATCTGTTATTTACAAGTTAGTTGCGTATCCTTTACAGGGCATTACAGAACCAACCCCAATATTTTTTGGCTGTTGTGGTTTTTCTCAGGATATTTACGTCCAGTAGTTTCCCATTGCCTTCTGAATGGTCTCCTCTGTACCACTGTCGAAACCAACGCAAGGTGCAGGACCCCTAGCTGGGATCAAACCTGGCATTAGAAGCACGCTTCAACGCCTATGCCACAGAGGCCGACATATATAATTCCATTTACAGACGGCTTGTATTTGGTTTCATGTTTGAGCTGCACTGTGGTTTGCTTTCTTCACTGAATGGATGGACGCTGGAAAGACTAGGATGGGGGTCATTTTTATGGTTGTGACAGCTGGGAAGATTGTGGGTGTTAGAGAAGCATGGGCTAGCGGAGGGAAAACGTGCTGTGTGGTATGTAGAGAGGTGCAATCACCTTCACCTCCCGATGTGCCACATGATTGTAAAGTGCAAATTCTGTCGCATCACGTTTCTTTAAAATGCACTTTTCTAAATGATGATTGTAAATTGCACACCCTGTTTGCCTATATGATGATTGTATAAAGTGCATCTCCTGTCAGGCTGCATGATGATTGTATGTAATTCAGCTGCAGACGATTTTGGCATCGAATAACTTTGCATTGATTTCAACAATGCTATGGACTATTCTGAAAGCAGTTACAAACTATGGAGCGTTAAATGCTTAGTTAACCGACAAAGGATTCCAATAATTCTGTGGTGGGTTCTGCAACTTCAGGTAAAGGATATATGCAACTGAGCCCAACAATTCTGTGGTGGGTTCTGTAAGTTCATATGAAGGATATACAGCTAACTATTTATATAATATTACTTTTGGTTTAAAAATGATCTTGAAGAGCACAGTAACTTCACCAGACTGATAAACCCTTTGGCGAACATGGGTTGTGGTTCCTGCCTTCTAGTTCTCTTAGGACATGATTGCTCCTTTTTTAAATAAGTTTCAGGCTTGTGGCGTTTACTGTGAAGGATTTATTCATTTGAAGGATTTCTGGCAGCCCATATTTTGTCGTAGTATGGGACGTCGCAGGTCGACCCAGCCAGCCTAAAATGGGTACCAGGATGGGCTGTCCTGGGAAAGTAAAGACAGCCGGCGTAATGCTGACCACATTACCCACAGAGTGCTGATGGTCTGTAAAATATGGGACGCTCTGCCCATATGCCCGATGCGCCGAAAGGCGCGAAAAGGGATCTTTACTTTACTTTTACTTATATTCAAGGTGTTCTTTATATCATTTACAAATTTTTAAAAATCTCTACTTACTTCTCGGGGGACGCCAACACCCCCCCCCCCCCCCCCCCCACAGATAAAGTAAAGGACTAGACTTCTTCCTGCACCTTCAGGATTTATTGGGAATATGGTGCTAAATCTATATTTTATAGACCAGTCACTTTTACCTCCCAGGAATGCTGCCCATTTAGGGCTGGGTTGAAGTTGACATCAGAGTCACTGTAATTTTTAAACCCACCCAAAAACGTCTGGCTGTGTCACATTTGAACCCACAACCTGTTGAACCACAGCTGAACCTCTCACCTGTATAGCAGTTATATTTGTGCGCCACAGGTTAAAGAACAACCTGCAGTCCGGTGTGTGTGGGTCTGTTAACACGAGTTCATGTATGTCTCATCATCATCATGTGCCCTGCCAAACAGTGTAGGCGCTTATGCGTCTCCACAGATCACGATGCCTGGAACAGCTTTCCTGTATGGTATCACTCCATGCCATAATTTCAGCGCATCCATCTCTCTTGGTCTCCCTCCACCCCTCTTTCCAGTTGTCACTATGTTCATTTATGTCTAGTTTATGTATATTACAGAAAAGCACCAATCTTTATCACATGTAACAAATTGTTCTTGTCTTTTACAGTTGAGGGACGTTAAAAGGAAAGTTTGCAAGCTTGATCTAGTGGACAGACACATTGTTGGCAGTTTGTGTTATATTTGTTATTGCCAGATCTGGTGTAAATTCATTATGCATGTTTTTTTTTGGATACAACATTGCAGATATAGATCATCTATTTCAGGCGAGTGAAAGAAAAGGTTAATAAATTGTGGTAAACTTTTTATCATCAGTTTACTGTGGATTATATATCTCATGTATTGTGTTTTAACTATAAAGTTGATTAGTCTCTGGAATTATAGATATGCAGAAGAATAGGTTAGTTGTCATGGAAACAGCCAAATATAAAGGTTCTGCTGAGCCTGCAAATCAAAAAGAGAGTCTAAAAGAAATGAAACAAATATGTTCTTTAATGACAATGAATTATTTTAGCCAAATTAAAGGACAGAACTCTTTTAAACATACTGTAGGGAAAGGTCGAGAAAAAGAAGTAAACAACTATGGGGGGGGGGGGGGGGGGCATCAAGAGACGGAAGAACAGCAGCCTGAGATAGGGTGAAACCAAGACAAGAGATAGAACTTGGTGGTGATCAGAGCCAGCCTTTATTGTTAAGTCGGAAGCAGTTTGAATAATTTTTCTCATTCTAGTAGGGGTTTTTTTTATCGTCCTTTCTTTGCTCTCTAGTGTATTTCGAACATCACATGTTTTTAAATTATCTCTTTGGCGCACACACACCCCCTTTTTTAAATGACCTCTTTTTCAGTTATCATAACCTCCACTTCAGATACTCAGTAGTTTTAGAACAAATGTAATTTTTTTTTCTTCGCCTGGTAATGATTTCATTTGTTTTTTAGACATGTATATACATCATCACACGTAGCAGCCGGTCCTTTGAAGTGCTTCTCCCAACAAGGCTCACCATTATGATAGAAAGAGGAACGTAGAGCACAAGGCATAATGAACAAATAATACCAGGGGGGAAAAACAGTTCTTTGCATTCTCCAGCAAACGTTTCTGGTTGTTCGTTCACCTCTGGACGAAAAACAATACAGTGTGTCCATGGTTAAGGCTGTCAGAACAAACAGAACCTCAGCATCCAAAGCGGTAGAATAGGAAGTGTAAAAGATGATAGATTTTTAACAAAAATTAGAAGTCTTGAGATAACAATCTTGCAAAGTTCTGTAGTGATAGAAATAGGCTTTTTCTTCAGTGATTGTTTGCTAGGCATCTATTCCAAACTAGGTGTCATAAATCTGGCAGTGCCCTTAAGTGCAGCATCCTGTTTATGACCCATATTGGAATAGAAAAATAATATTACATCACTAACTTTTTAGTCCATCGTAGTGCCATAGTGATTATGTCTTTTTTATTCACTTGTTCATTGTCTTACATGTGGTGAATGTCATGCCATTAAAATATGATGAATTATGTTGTTGGTCTTTCATCATTTGTTTTCAGTGGCTGGTGTAATGTCCTCCTGTGAAGTGGACCAAAAACCTACCCCAGTATTCTTCAACGGTTATCATCATACAGCAGATCCTTTGCAGAACATCGCTCGTATCACTGTCTGACCTAGGGGGTGGATCAAAAACCTACCCCAGCATTCTTCAACGGTTATCAATCATATAGCAGATCCTTTGCAGAACATCGCTCTTATCGCTGTTTGACCTAGGGAGTCGATCAAAAACCTACCCCAGTATTCTTCAATGGTTATCATCAAATAGCAGATCCTTTGCTGAACATCACTCGTATCGCTGTTTGACCTAGGGAGTGGATCAAAAACCTACCCCAGTATTCTTCAATGGTTATCATCATATAGCAGATCCTTTGCTGAACATCGCTCTTATCAGTGTCTGAAAGTCTTTTACCAATTCTCAAGCCTCGTGCACTTTTGTATCCTAGAAGTCACTTTTATCCTGTGACCATCTTCATGTAGGTCTGTTCCTGCCTTCCTGGTACCATGTCGGCTGCTATATTTGTTGGTCCACCATTGTGCTTGATACAAGTAAAATATTTCTTTCTCCAAGTTCATGTTTGTGATCTGCCTGGCCTGTGAGCATCACCATCAGATTTGTTTTGGGGAGAGGGGGCTTCCATGAAAATCTAGGGTATAAGTTTCCTCTTGCTATCCACATGGCTTTAGACTCTGCCAGAGCAAGTGAGTGCACTGCTGCATGATACTTTTGCTAAAAGCAGAGGGACTCCAGAGGTGTCCACTTATCCCAGTGAATACTTGGTCCTCATGGCTGCAGTGTGTTTGCTGTCTACCACGTTCTTCAAAGGTAGTCCAGAAAATCTTCCGCCAAGTCATCTTGCTTGGTCATTTAATATGTGGAGCCGGAAGATTTAACACTGCATTGCTGTTGCCGGAAGATTTAACCCTGCATTGATGTTGCCGGAAGATTTAACCCTGCATTGCTGTTGCCGGAAGATTTAACACTGCATGGCTGTTGCCGGAAGATTTAACACTGCATGGCTGTTGCCGGAAAATTTAACACTGCATGGCTGTTGCCGGAAGATTTAACACTGCATTGCTGTTGCCGGAAGATTTAACCCTGCATTGCTCTTGCCGGAAGATTTAACCCTGCATTGCTCTTGCCGGAAGATTTAACCCTGCATTGCTGTTGCCGGAAGATTTAACCCTGCATTGCTGTTGCCGGAAGATTTAACCCTGCATTGCTGTTGCCGGAAGATTTAACCCTGCATGGCTGTTGCCGGAAGATTTAACCCTGCATTGCTGTTGCCGGAAGATTTAACCCTGCATTGCTGTTGCCGGAAGATTTAACCCTGCATTGATGTTGCCGGAAGATTTAACCCTGCATTGCTGTTGCCGGAAGATTTAACACTGCATGGCTGTTGCCGGAAGATTTAACACTGCATGGCTGTTGCTGGAAAATTTAACACTGCATGGCTGTTGCCGGAAGATTTAACACTGCATTGCTGTTGCCGGAAGATTTAACCCTGCATTGCTCTTGCCGGAAGATTTAACCCTGCATTGCTCTTGCCGGAAGATTTAACCCTGCATTGCTGTTGCCGGAAGATTTAACCCTGCATTGCTGTTGCCGGAAGATTTAACCCTGCATTGCTGTTGCCGGAAGATTTAACACTGCATGGCTGTTGCTGGAAGATTTAACCCTGCATTGCTGTTGCCGGAAGATTTAACCCTGCATTGCTGTTGAGCTACTACTGTGGTGCCAGAAGTACAGGCCATGTAACTTTACTGTGCAAGTTCCCTATACTTAATCCACAAAGCAAAATCAGGTGAAAACGAAAGCACAGGATCCCGTAACAGGCTGATGTAAATAACAGAAGTAGGGATCGAATAAATGTTATTGCAGCGCTTTGGTTCTCATAGCGGCTCCCTGGCTTAGGCGTTGCGAGTCTGACTCGTAATCCAACATACCGCAATTGAAACCCACTCCTGGCTGCAAGGATTTTTATGGTATGGGGCGTCGCAGGTCGACCCAGCCTAAAATGGGTACCAGGATGGATGTCCTGGGGAAGTAAAGACGGCCGGCGTAATGCTGACCACATTACTCATCCAGTGTCGATTGGTTTGTAAAAATATGGGATGCTCTTCCCAAATACCCGATGTGCCTAAGGCGTAAAAAAAAAGGATCTTTTACTTACTTTTCTTCTCATAATTATCTACTATTTCGCTGGACCACAAGTGTAAAAATGTTCAACGCTGATTAGCCAGATGATGACCAATGGTCAGAAGGCCTCATTCACATTTGTGAAGAAATTGGGCAGCCACTGGAAAACAAAAGAGCAGGGCAAATAGATGTACTGCCTAAGATAAAAACTTGGTGTGTAATTCTGGCATAATCCTGAAGTCTCAACCAACTTCACACAAAAGCAATAGACTATTGTTTTAAAATTGAGGACTGCATCTATATGTATAAATGTTTGTTCAATCAATATTACAGCAAGCATAACATTTCCAAAAGCGCATCGTCCCCATCTTTAGCAGCAAGTGCAGAATTCCGATGGTAACTATATATCTGTCTCACCTTTCCCTTAAATGTTGATCCTCTGCTAAATCCCCCGTGCAATCCTCACTGAACCATTCTCCTCAGACCGTGATGATCCATCCATGCATCTGCATTGTTCACTTGCCCCTTAAAGGGCTCTTACATCATGCATCAATGTACCACCAAGCTGTGCAGAACCAGCCAGCCAATCTGGCTATTCATTTCCTAATACACCCGCATTCCCTGGCAAACAAATATCCAAAGGATACAAACCGCCCGGGACTTCTAAAGCAATGCTTGCTACTCTTCACATAGTATACCGGTTTTTAACTTTCTCAACATGCTCTGTTAGTTACAGTTGTGATATGTTTACTGCTAATTTCTCAAGCCAGCGGAAGGCTGCAGCGACTGCCTCCACCTCCATTCTCACACTAGATGTGGTGTCAAATGCTAAGCCTCATGTTTGCATGTACATATTCAAGACTGGGAACCCAGAACATAAAAAAAACTGAACAACTGCTGCCAAAAAATGCTCTCCACACGCAGAGAGGTCCTGGGTATGAACAGCTGCTGCCAAAAAATGCTCTCCACACGCAGAGAGGTCCTGGGTATGAACAGCTGCTGCCAAAAAATGCTCTCCACACGCAGAGAGGTCCTGGGTATGAACAGCTGGTATTCTGTTTGTGTCAGTGCAGTACATGGCAAGCACTACAACATTCAGAACAATATAACTAGAATGTCTTTGCACTGGAACCCACAGGAGCACAGAAATAAAGGAAGACAACAAAAAAAAACACATGGAGAAGAGGGTTGTGAACTTAAAAATATGGGGCGAGTTTTATGCAGTAGCGAAGGATAGAACAACCTGGTGTGGGCTGGTTGAGAGCCTATGCTTTGTTGGGGGCGTAGAAGAAGACCATGATATTCAAAGGCTTTTGGCCAAACCTTAGAAACCACTAGCAGGGATAACATATAAGACCATAAAACTAGAATGCCAGGTACACACATTCACACACATGTGTTGAAACACGATGAATTTTAAGAAAACAATAATTACAGATATTACACAAACAATTTATTTAGCCATAAATAACATTCTTTGTAAAGTTAATTTAAGAAGGTACATTCTATGAAAGAGATTACACTATGCTAACAAAATCTCATGCACTAGCTAACTTGGTTAAACCAGCTGCGTGGCAACCAGGTAACGAACTCCTTGTGGTCTGAGTTCACACTTTACAGTGTGAAGAAGAGCCACATACTTCCCATATTTACGTTATCTATCATGGATTAAAGGCCGAAGGGTTACAATATCCATAGTACCAAGCCAAAGGAAACTCATTGTTTCTGGATTTTTTTTAAAAACTCACTACATAAACTCATTGCTTTCTTTCTGTTTGTACTTGAAGGAAACTTAGGGGATGTTTTCTATCAATGGATCACAGCCAGCTTGCTGACCTTGTTTAGCCACTTTCTCAAATAAAATCTGTTGAAAATATTTTGGAACATAAAAACCTGAATGTGTTTTCTAGAAAGTGAAAGTTGCTTTATTTTGTCATGGTGTTTTTGCCTGTCATAATCAGGGGAACTGGCGCAGGTTCTACGTTGAGTTCCCTTCGAAGTTCCTCCAAATCTTGTTCCCAGTTATTTTCAAAGTAGACATTCATCAGGAACTTGGAGTTGTACCCAGATCTGATTGCCCAGGGTAGGTAGATATTGATGTACTTTTCTCTGTGTCTGAAATAGAATCAATATACACAAGTCATAACAGTTAAGAACTTTGTTTTTTAAACATAATTTGGGCAGGCATCTTCTTCTTTTTCGATCCTTCTGTCAGAAAACTTATATCAGCAGGCCGGTAGTCTTTATGAAAGCTATTGTGCAGTCCATATCCTCTCGTGTACTATACAGCTTTGTCTTAATTGCTGTTGGAACAGGCTAGATTGTGTCTCTGTTGTCAGCATTTGGAGCACATGCTAAGCATTTTCGGGTGCCACGCTGCAGGGACACGTCTCCGTGTTTCCTAAACTGAAAAATTTGAACATATGTTGACGAAGTCCGTTGTGCCCAGTCCTTAGTCTGAATATAATAGACTGTCTCTCTCTAGAGAGGCGATGAAGCGAGTCTTGGGAAGAGTACTTGGTGTGTGTATCCAGCCACCTTTCTTGGATACTAGGCAGGCATCAATCAATCAATCAGGTGCCAACTCCACAGTAAACGTTAGCTGCAATAGATCTCCATCATGCTCTGTCTCTTTTCCTGGTTGAACTCTCTTAGACTGCTGTTCGTTCACATCTTGATTTTGTCTTTTCACTTGTACCGTTGTCTACATTTTGCTCCCTTGCCCTCAGCCCTTCCCTCCGGAATGGTTTTTCAAAAGCATATTATAATAACAAAATATTTCAACTGTCTCTGTCATTTCTTTCAGTAATTCTGTTTATCTGCAGTCTTTCCAGAACCTCTGTATTTGATTGTCTTTGTTTCAATGAAATACAACACATTCTTCTGAATATCCGTATTTCCAGATACTCTATTCAACTTTCTAGTTGCGTGTATTCAACTTTCTAGTTGCGTGTATTCAACTTTCTAGTTGCGTGTATTCAACTTTCTAGTTGCGTGTATTCAACTTTCTAGTTGCGTGTATTCAACTTTCTAGTTGCGTGTATTCAACTTTAGTTGCGTGTATTCAACTTTCTAGTTGCGTGTATTCAACTTTCTAGTTGCGTGTATTCAACTTTCTAGTTGCGTGTATTCAACTTTCTAGTTGCGTGTATTGAACTTTCTAGTTGCGTGTATTGAACTTTCTAGTTGCGTGTATTCAACTTTCTACTTGCGTGTATTCAACTTTCTACTTGCGTGTATTCAACTTTCTAGTTGCGTGTATTCAACTTTCTAGTTGCGTGTATTCAACTTTCTAGTTGCGTGTATTCAACTTTCTAGTTGCGTGTATTCAACTTTCTAGTTGCGTGTATTCAACTTTCTAGTTGCGTGTATTCAACTTTCTAGTTGCGTGTATTCAACTTTCTACTTGCGTGTATTCAACTTTCTAGTTGCGTGTATTCAACTTTCTACTTGCGTGTATTCAACTTTCTACTTGCGTGTATTCAACTTTCTACTTGCGTGTATTCAACTTTCTAGTTGCGTGTATTCAACTTTCTAGTTGCGTGTATTCAACTTTCTAGTTGCGTGTATTCAACTTTCTAGTTGCGTGTATTCAACTTTCTAGTTGCGTGTATTCAACTTTCTAGTTGCGTGTATTCAACTTTCTAGTTGCGTGTATTCAACTTTCTAGTTGCGTGTATTCAACTTTCTAGCTGCGTGTATTCAACTTTCTAGTTGCGTGTATTCAACTTTCTAGTTGCGTGTATTCAACTTCCTAGTTGCGTGTATTCAACTTTCTAGTTGCGTGTTCATTTTTCAAGTTTCTGCACCATACATCAGTGCTGGGTACCTATAACATTTGACGGATCAAATTTTTAATGTTTTTATTTTCTCTGACAATAACTTCCACATCTTAACGAAGACAGTTTAAGCCATTCCTATTTGATTTTTTGTTCGCGTCTGCCATCATCTGTTACTACATCGAGCACATGATGCTACAATAATATTTTGTTACTGGCCAATCAGCACGTAACGAAAAAAAGAAAATACCCAACACTCCCCTATCAACCATGTCATAAAAGGTGACTTTCTTCTTCGTGTTCACCATGTTTCCGGCAGATAGTTCTGATTGTTCGTCCACTTCTGGACCTCAGTCTGGAGGAACTAATTAGGGGTGTTTCTTCAAGAGGAGTACACATGCCTGAGAGGTGAGTAAATTGACAGTCGCTGAAGCCAGATCAGTAAATTGGATATACATGCAAAACTCCAGTTCTGGAACAAGGTAAAGGTCATGGCTGGACAACCAGAACTTTCTGCCGGAGTTTACAGTAGTTGAACGCTAAGAGGAAGAAGCTTCCTTACAACTTAATTCTAACCCGGGTCATTCATAAAGAAACATTCCTTGTGTGGGTTCTGGGGCCCCATTGTGGGGAAACCAAGAACAGACCCAGTCAACTAACTGGGGGTTTCCTTTGAAGTCGATGTGCATCTGCCTGAGAGGCAAGGAACCAACAATCTGCATACAAATAAGTCAGATCTGTAAAATGTATGTTCTGGCAACTCTGAGGTTCGGAACAAGACTAAAGTCCAGAAATGGATAAAGAACCAGAACTTTCTGCTGGAGTTTACAGCCGGTGAAGGCGAAGAAGAAGAAAAGTTAATAAAACTTCAACAACAATAAAAAATTGTAAGTCACTGGAACTGTACTTACTTTGGACCCAGTCGAATCGGACCAAACAAGGCTGCAGTAACACACAGTGGTAATCCAGTCTGTATCGCTTCAAACCACTTGACTGCCACCTCACCTAGCATGTTTGGTGGCATGCCCAGCAATGTGTGCACTAAATCATGGCACTGCCGGTACCGCAGCATCACATACATCAGTTCAGCATCATCCACAAAGTTGACAGGTCTCCTAGCATCCGGGGAGAAGCCCTCAGAAACATAAAAGAGCAATAGAGGTTAGGCGGCCATGTTGATGACCACACAAAAATGAGACTGCAATGTTCCACAAAACTAACCGGGAAGGCTAACCTGGTAAACAAATGCCTGCAGAAGTCAGATGGGTTGGCTAAAAGGAGTATATATCGCAACCATGCTGTAAACAGGCACAATGCAATTATACCTTCGGAAGAATGCAGAAGAAGAAGAAAAAAGAACTGTATGCAAAATTTATCAAGACATACATGAATTGTACTCAAATACTGATGAAGATGTACAAGGAAGTGTACTCAGAAATTGTTGATCCCCCCAATATGGGATGCACATTTTTTTTTATTTTAAAGCCCCACCCCAACTGTCACTGGGGGCCCTGAACATAACCTGTGGGTTGAATGGGATTTCTTGGACTTGTGCTTTGGCAGATTCTCATCCAAATGGTGGCACTTTGTGTCACCAGGTGTTTGTTGCTCGTTATGAGGTCGTGGTGGGGTTGAAAGTCAGTCAGTCGTGGCACACATGAACTTGTTCTCAAATGTTAATAAGTAAAAGTAAAAAGTATAGGGCCCTTTTCCACGCCTTCAGGCGTATTGGGCATATAGGGCTAGACCCATACTGTACAGGCATTGGGTAGGTGATGTGGTCAGCATCACGCCGGTCGCTTTTACTTTCCAGGACTGTACCTGGTACCCGCTCAAGACTGGGTCAACCTGAGATAACAAGTCATTTTTGAAAAAATTCCTGCTCCATCGGGACCTGAATCTTTGACCTTCCGATCCACAGACGAGCATCTAGCCACTACACCAAGAAGACTCTCCAGTTTGAAAAAGACATACAGAATTAAAACAGTCATGGAAACCAATCAAATAACATAAATATTTATGTGTTTAAAACATCAGATGAGGTCTTACATTGGCACTGAGGAAATTCCAGTAAGCTTTTCCAAATGTTCCATCGGGAAGTCTGCCTAGATAGTCCACATCAAGGGTCTGTGTGTTCAACACAGGTCTGTCTCTGAATGGAAACATCATAAATGTATATATTGGATGTTAAACTCTCTCTCTCTCTCTCTTTCTGTATACACACACACACAAACTAAAGACCACAACAACAGAGTCAACCGTTACTCGTCTGTCACCTCTAATCATCTCTGTCACTCGCTACATGGATGCGTCTGTTGCAATCTCAACAGAATGACCAGATCAGACTTCATCAACAATTTTAGAGCATCCCTGATGAAGTTTTTTTTTGTTTTTTTACCCAACTATGCCACGCTTTACTGGATAAACATTTGTCAGCATAAACAAAAAAAAAACATTTCCTTATGAATGTCCTTTGCAGACAGCCCTCCCCCCCCCCCCCCCCCCAAATGCACAACAGCACATTGTGCTTTGAGGGTATACTCCATAAGTACATTTGCCATTTTGTTTCTGTGTTGTGAATCTGCATGTTTTTAATTTCCCCCCTCAAGGGTTGCAATCTGTAGATCAACACCTCAAACATGAGAATCAAACAGATACAAATTCTGGAAACTTTATTTAACCATATGGGGGGGGGGGGGGGGGGGGGGGGGGGGTGAACATGATGTTTTTAATAGTTAGGGAGGGGGGGGTGAAGATGATGTTTTAATAGTTATTTAGGGGGGGGGGGGGGTGAACATGATGTTTTAATAGTTATTTCTTATTTTGGACTGCACTGGACAATTGATGGGAAATGAAAGAGTTAATGTCCTTTATGCAACATCTTTTGCCAGTCTTCTTGGCAGTGGGCTACTTTTGATGGAACAGATGCGGTGAAGGCTCTCTGGGATCATGTGAATGGGGCAACAGAAGCTGACAACGTATCCTCATCTACAGAACTTGATTCATCAGGGAAGGAGCAGAGGCTTTGGGCAATTTTCAGTGAGCACGGGAAAAGACTGGAGGACTTTTAATCAGCTTGGAACTCTTCGCTGGCTTCTGAGGAAGGAGACAGAACACAAGAAAGAATTTCCTGAGTGCAATGATAATGACTATTGATTTATTCCTCTGCTATTTTGCTGATCATCTTCTGCCTTCCATCAAAAAAGTGAATGGAATCTGGCCAGAGATGACTACCGCTTACTGACCCGCATTCTTTGCCTCAGGACAGGGCACAACAAACTTAACAAGCATATGCACAGGCTTTGACTAAGTAGTTTACCTTTGTGCTCGTGTAGGCTGTGCATGCAAACTGCAGAACATCTCTTGCAAGAATGTCCCTTGTATAGCCCATTAAGATGGGAATACTGGCCCACTGAGTCAATGCCATACTGGAAGTTTGTATGAAACTAAAAGGGAACTCCAAAAAAAACAGTAAATTTTATCACAAGAATTTGTCTGTCAGCGTAAATCAGACAGCAATCACAAGAATTTTTCTGTCAGCGTAAATCAGACAGCAATCACAAGAAGAAAAAGAAGGCCCTGCCTTATCTTCCAGGAAACATGCCTTCCACTACCATTATTCCTGTTTGAGACAAACATAACAGCTCCAACCACAGGTAAACGACTTACTCTAGAATCTGCCTTCCCACTGGGTCAGCTTGCATCTTCTTGTGCATGTACCTGAGGGCTGGGAGTCCAGTTGTTTCCCCGAGTGTACAGATCATGTCTGCAAAATCAAACAAATTTTATAGCATGAAGCAAAGTAAACAGGTTCGGCAGTGATGAACAAATTAAAACAAGCTTTATAGCACATAACAAATAAAACAGGCTCTACAGCACTGAATGAATTAAACATTCAACAGCTTTAAACAAATGGAACAGGTTTTACAGCACTAAATAAATCAAACATTCTACAGCTATAAACAAATTAAACATGTTCTATAGCACTGATAAATTAAACATTCTACAGCTATAAACAAATCAAACATGTTCTACAGCACTAAATTAATTAAACATTCTACAGCTGAGGTTTGAACAACGGATCAACATCATGGCACACAGGTAGTAACCCATAAGTACTCCGTTCTTGTTCAAATTCAAGTCTGAGTCAGAAGAAGCTCAGCACAGTGCACAGATTCTGTAGCACCAGCAAGGATCCTGAAACATTTTGGGTAGATTTTAAACTCCAAATTTTGCCGCTGCAGCACCGTAAGGCTACTCTTTTAGATTTCCAACTGCCAGGCGATTTTTTTTTACCTGCGCAACAATACACATGGGCGTCCGATCTCACTACCCAGAGACCAGAGAAAATTACTAAAGTCCAAGTCCACGTGTAAAAATCCTAGCCCTTATTGGGGACTGAACCCGGAACCTCAAGCACTCGAGGTGGACACTATGCCTTGAGACCATGCAGCCCCTCCCCATTCAACAGCTGATAAATAATAACAAGTGCAATATCCCGGAACAAATGAAACAGGTTTTATAGCACTGAAAAAATGAAATATTCTATAGTGATGAACAAATGACAGACATTCTATATCAGTGATTAAGTGAAACATACATGTCTTCTTTTCTCCCCACTGTTTCCTGTGGCCAAATGTTTAACTTTGTTTACTTATTTTGTTTAATTAATGTTCACAGCAAAAGGGAAGCATATGACATCCTGGCATCTAGTATGAGAACAGAGGGAGAGGTAGTCAGCCTTCCGCTGGACCGAGAACATGATCTGACTGTAACCAACTCAAAGATAATGTTGAGCAAGGTAGAGACAGGTACAGTCCATGCAGAGTGGCAAGCATCATTTCAGAGGTCTCAGGTAGTTACTGTCCTTTGGGTATAATAAGGGGCCTGCCTGGTCTCGATGCATAGTGTCCACCTTGAGTGCTAGAGGTTCAGGGTTCAATCCCTGGTAAAGGCTGGGATTTTTTCACATGGACTTGGACTTCTAGTAATTCCCGGTGGTCTCTGGATGGTGCAACATAATACTCAATTTTGAAATGAGGCCAAAGTCCAGAAATGGACACACATGAACTTTCTGCCAGAGATTACAGCCAGTGATTGTTAAAACTTCTCAATTATTTGTGCAGCATATATTGTTGCATCATATTGAGTGCTCAGTCCTATAATTGCCTCATATTGAGTGCTCAGTCCTATATTTGCATCATATTGAGTGCTCAGTCCTATATTTGCATCATATTGAGTGCTCAGTCCTATATTTGCCTTATATTGAGTGCTCAGTCCTATATTTGCCTTATATTGAGTGCTCAGTCCTATATTTGCCTTATATTGAGTGCTCAGTCCTATAATTGCATCATATTGAGTGCTTAGTCCTATATTTGCCTCATATTGAGTGCTGTCCTATATTTGCCTCATATTGAGTGCTTAGTCCTATATTTGCATCATATTGAGTGCTCAGTCCTATATTTGCCTCATATTGAGTGCTCAGTCCTATATTTGCATCATATTGAGTGCTCAGTCCTATATTTGCCTCATATTGAGTGCTCAGTCCTATATTTGCAGCATATTGAGTGCTCAGTCCTATATTTGCAGCATATTGAGTGCTGTCCTATATTTGCAGCATATTGAGTGCTCAGTCTTATATTTGCATCATATTGAGTGCTCAGTCCTATATTTGCCTCATATTGAGTGCTCAGTCCTATATTTGCCTCATATTGAATGCTCAGTCCTATATTTGCCTCATATTGAGTGCTCAGTCCTATATTTGTCTCATATTGAGTGCTCAGTCCTATAATTGCCTCATATTGAGTGCTCAGTCCTATAATTGCCTCATATTGAGTGCTCAGTCCTATAATTGCCTCATATTGAGTGCTCAGTCCTATAATTGCCTCATATTGAGTGCTCAGTCCTATAATTGCCTCATATTGAGTGCTCAGTCCTATAATTGCCTCATATTGAGTGCTCAGTCCTATATTTGCCTCATATTGAGTGCTCAGTCCTATATTTGCATCATTAAATAAAGCAGTAGCAACACCTACCATCTCGCGCTGGGTTCAACAAACAAGCAATGCCCGACCCCAGGGCCAGAAGCGATTTCTGAAACAGCGATGTCTTTATGTGTCCTGGATACAAGCCATCGTACTGGGCACTAGCCTGGTTGTTAGTGTCATCAAATTCTTCATGCTGCTCACTTGCAGGTGCTGCTTCTGTTGATAAACAGGATGTTGACGGCAGTCTTGTCTGAGAGCCCCTGAGAAGGTTGCGGGTCGAACGCCTAATTAGGAAAACACGCAGGTGAAGAAATTTACTATAGGTAATTTGTCTCATAATTTCTGCCAGCATTTTTGCGTGGAGTGTGCAACTCACAAAATACAGATGTAAAACATGGAAGTTGTTTCTTAATTTGAAAAGCTAATTTTTAGCACCCAAAACAGTTCGTATTTTATGTTATAATAAATAACAAATTTTAAATTTAAAAAAACACGGATTTGGGTTCCAAATAAACCAGATATAGAAATCTTCAGTGTCTACTTTTCCAGTTGGTTTTGGAGATTTCGCATTTGATTTTATTTACTCTTTATTTTAACTGTTTCATGGTCTATTTGTGTTGTACAATGATGAAGGCCTTTTAGCCTACAGTTCAGTCTGTCCTTCGCGACTGTGGTATCGTTAAGCAAACTATTAGGGCTAAAACTATGATATGGACTGATCTTGGTTTTATGGAAATCTTCAGGAAGTGGCGAAGAAGGAGAGATTCTAATTAGGGTTGCCAGATAAAAAAAAAACAATGGTAATTTTACGCCAAATTACGCCACACACAAAAAAGCCAAATGAAATAAAACATTGAACTCACTTCACATCAAAAGCTCTAGATTGAATTCCCGACTGTCATCCGTACTGGGACAAGTGAAAGATACAGCGTAAACCTTTTCAGCCTTAAGTGAAGGCGATATAATATTTTTTAATTATGCGGAGCATTTAATTATATGCAACTGTATGTGTTCCAATGTACTCCCTCGACCACGCGCTGTCATGATTTACACTTAGATTATCAATTGTGCGTAATGCGCAATGGCAGGTCATGCTTACAGCAATTTGCAACTCTTTCGCCTTAACTTTATAATTTTTTTACCTAGCAGTCATTGCTGTAATACGCGGTGACTGGCTTTTTGACTAGGTTTTTATCCTGTTTTTTTTTCAATTTGTTTTTATTTGAATTGAGTTGAGAATTGACATCACAGCGCTCGGGGCATTCCCATACGCGCTCCGTCCCTATCCTCAGCAGCCAGCGCAGAGTTCCAGCACTGATGGTGCCGGTCTTGGTCTAGTTGTATGTCCGTCTTGCCTTTCCTGTGAGCGTAGTGTGCCAGCCGAACCCTCTGGTCACACCCAGGTACAACATTCTCTCCACCCCATATTAACCTAGTTTCTCTTCTGATTTCGTTACTTGTTCCCAAAGGGTTCTGACTACATCTGCTTTGATATTCATTAATTCACTACCCAGAGGTACAGATCCAGCCATTCGTCTGTCTGTTCATTCCCCAACCACGCCGGCAAACCTGGACAACAGATCCAAAGTACGCTCACTACTCGTGACCTTGCAAGTGAAGCTTGCCTCTCTGCTCGAAGCAATCCTGTCTTCAGCATGCTTTCAGAGTCCTTTACAATTACAACATGTGTGTGTATCCTGTTCTCTAGCCACCGGCAAGCTGCAGTGACCGCCGCCACCTCTATTCTCAAACTAGATGTCGTGATATCGTACGCCAGGCTGTCCTGCACCAATGTTTTCCAGTGGCTTTCGCTACAAAACCACATGCACGTCTCTTCTCTCTCAATACAGAACCATCTTAGTAGATAATCAGATCACCAGGACGAGAATTGTCGTGATTCCACTGTTGGACTTCCACCTCAGTAGGCTCCGCTGGCCATTCTCTGCACTCCAGCACTCTGCAATTATTTTTTTTTCAAGAATTGATGTGTTACTAATTCTTGGTTACAATAATGCACTGATAGTTTTCAATATGCTTCCTCTGATCCGTCTGAAGATATTTTTTTTTTTAGCCGTGGGTATGTTTTCTCCCAATTACTATTATACTTGCAATTTCTGTCATAAGATGCTTTCCATTTTTCGGAAAAACGTTGTAATTGGTAAAAGTAATTAAAATCAATCACAGTTAGAACTAGGTCTATATCATCTCTACTTTCTATCCTCAAGTAGTTGCGGAACAGACTCACTTGGTATCACTGGTGAGTTTTAGTTTTATATCCCGTATTTATTCTACTAAATTAACATTGTGTCTCAGTAAACTCCCACGACCAGCACAGATAAGTCTTCCAGGCTACGTGACTCCGTACTGCATGAAGTGTGAACGTACGATGGTTTATCAATGACCTGTTTTATTATAGTTAAATTACAGAGGATTTTTTTTTTTTATCGCAGTCACGATCCGTTTAGGAAGACAACATACTCATACACAGATGCTCATACATTTAGAGATGGCGCGAATCTTCTTTAGTCCGTGTTCAAGCCGTACCTGGACATCACAACAAACTGAAATATAGATGTTAACTGTAGGCTTACACTGCTTTTAGTAAATTAGCGTGTTTGTCACGCAGGAACTATGAAGAAAATGTGAGCAAGTCTTGTTTAAAAGACCCAGAAGCCCGGCTCGCTAGCTCAGTAGGTTAAAGCCCTCTGCGCGGCGATCGGTTGACGAACTCCTTATAGTCCGGGTTCACGCCCAGGGGTATGCAGAAAAGCAATTTTTCTCTCAGATTTATGGTAACCGTCATGGAATTAATGCCGAAGGATTGCGATATCCATACAACCCGGTAAAAGACTGCCAAATTGTTAACATCCTCTGTTATAGTTTCTGGATACACCAAAACAAAAACCCAAAGGCTGGCCATTCATGTACATCCTCGGTTAACCCTCAGTGTCGTCGACACCGCGCTGAGGTACACCACAACAGCAACCATCCTAATTGTCCGACAAAACAGATCATACGGATCAAAAATCTGACCATCAAAATTTGTATTGAACTGAAAAAGACCGAATGGAATCTAGCGTCAAAAAAAGCCAAAACGGCAACCCTGATTCTAATAGGGACATAAACAAACTCCGCGAGGAAGAGCGAACAACACCGAGAAAATGTCGGGTTTCTTCTAGTGTTACTGTTACTGTTGGATAGAGAGATACATATAATATTACTTACCATTTCCACAGTGACAATTTTAACCTAATGCAACTGTGTTATATGGTGGTACTGAGTTTCTCGGACTTGTACTATTTTGATTCTCCCTCTTACTTAGGCTAAACATCAGTATAGTAATCTTCATCCTACTTCATCCTTGGGAAGTGAACAACAGAACAACGGCCACTTAATAAAGTGACACAGCAGCTTGACAGCAGTAAACGAAATACAGACTTTACATCCAGACAGCTGTGGAGTTTGTACTGTGTTATAATTATGTCTTTTTTAACACGGAGCTTTAGGTCATGTTACCCTGTGTGTCGTTACCTTCAGACACCAAAGTATACAGTATTCAGCCCACATGTAACAAGGACTTTCTCTACACCTGTGAGATCGTGGCATCCTGCGTTAACAAAATCTCATACTGATACTCAAATTGTTCAAAAAAAAACTCTCAAACATTTCACCACAACATGCAGTCTGCACCAGCTTATCGAGAAAACGGACGCTGTGGAGACAGAAACAGTTGATAAAACCCAGCAGAAATTGGCGGAAATTTCACCCCGATTGGGCTTGGTTTACACATGCAAGATTTGTAACACTAGAAACAGTCACACTTTTTCTAAACAGGCATATCAGGAAGGTGTTGTTATAGTCAAGTGTGTCGGTTGCAAAAGTCATCACTTAATTGCAGACAACTTGGGCTGGTTTAAGGATGTTAATAAAAGGTATGTGTCTTTTCTTAGTCCTGTAGTCATAAACTTTTGGATCTATTAAAAACTGAATAAATTAGAATTATTCATTAACTAATACTAATACCTTTGCACAGTTCCATCGTCGTACACTGTCAGCTTCATTTTTTATTTGGAATGCTTTTCAGTTGTGCCCAGCATGGTTTGTGTTGTGAACTGCAGATTCCGAAACAGCGAGTGGCCTGTTGTGGTGCTTATTGCGCCTGCGACTACTGACTGCATTTCTAGTGTTGGACTGTTTGTACTGGCACTTCTAACGGCTGCTTATGCATTTAATGCATGTGTATGATATTAGATTCACTGAGACTGGAGTCAATATCAATTTTTAACAAGTGATGGACACATGTGTGCCTATGGAGTGACACATTTGTGATGAAGATGGAATTGCCATTACCTTACCTGTGCAGAGTACAGGGCTGAAATGATATGACGGAATCACACATGAGCCACAAACTAAACAAAATCAACAGATCAAGGAAAGAGACTACAACTGGAACAGACAGACTGAAAAAGCCTGTTTGAAGGTATCAAAACATTCAGAAGATATTCAGCAAAATATTTTCATGTGAGATGCCATCCGCACATCATTTCTGTAGGTGGGATGGCGAAGGCAAAAACCTACCACAAACCAAGTACTGATCAGTTGCAATGTTTAATCATTTTATTTTAACATTACTGATCTATCCTACAACAGTAGTCGGTACTACCTGTTCTCTGTTGATGCTAACTGTTATGTGTCTTGTGTCAAACCTGACATCCCATATTTTGTCAGCGGCTTCGGATGAAGAGGGGGGGGAGTGGGTGGTAATAACTGTATCCCAGGTCGAGAATATGCAACCTGAAAATGTAATGTTATGGCAGGGCAGATGGCAAGACAGGGCCTTGGCAGCTGGTTTAGAAGGAAAGCTACGACAGTCAGATAGACAGAGCACTGTTCTTCTGCAGCATGCTTTGTTCCAAATTTATTGGTATTGATGTTACCTTTCCTTAGCAGTAAACAAGGCAGGCTGAGCGAGTGATCATGCTGCATGGGCAGCATATGGTCTGTACAGTACTGCACAGGCTTTGTGCTATTGATAGGAGAACCTTTATCCCTGGTATTATTTATCCATTGCCATGGACGGTCTCTTCAACTCCTTTGCATTCACCGGCTGTAAACTCCATTGGAAAGTCCTGGTTGTTTGTCCACTCCTGGACTTTGGTCTTGTTCTAGAACTTGTGAGTTTTGTGTGCATATCCGATTTATAGATCTAGATTATCTGTATGCAGACTGTTGGTTCCTCCCATCTCAGGCGGACTCACTCTGACTTAGAAGGAAACACACCTAATTAGTTGCCTCCTGTGACATGCATGTTAGATGGCAACGGGTCTGTTCTTTGTTCTCCATAAAAGGAGCCTCGGAACCCACATCAGAAACCATAGGCTGTAACTCTGATTGGCACCTTTCCAGACGATAGTGGGAAAGCATCGGACTCACAGCCTATGGCGATTGCGAGTGTGACTAGCAAGACCTGCCCGCATTAAGAAAAGTCTTCCACAGTTATAGCATAGGATTTCAGGACCAGTGTTGTCAACATTTATGTTTAGCTTTTTCTTCTCAGACGCTCAGCTCTCATCCTTTTCTGCAATAATTTCTTCCTTCATTCAAATCTCATTCCCTTCCTGATGTGCCCCCTTCCATACAACACAGTCCATGGCATCTTGTTCCTATGAGTCCACTTTAATACCTCTATCATTCATGTCCCACTTGCATACATATTTATATCATAGTAGAAGTCAGCCTCAACATCTTCTGCCCATCTTTGATTCACCATAGAGGATGTCGTTAGGGACTCTGTCATCCTCCATTCTCCAGGTGTGTCCTAGCCACCTGTGATTCCAGTGTGTCCCTATAGCACAGTATAAAACCATCATCCGAGAAGACTAAAAATGTGCCAACACTGTTCAGCACCTTCTGCATGTTTTCTGTCGTCATCATGATACAGTTACATTCACTGTTTTATTGGCTCAGTACATCTGATTTTGACAAGCATTGTGTCATGTTTGCTTTCTCTAACTCCTTCGGCCCCATAAAGTTTTGTACAATTCTTTTTTTTTTTTTCATTACATCTTGCCACAAATATCTAACCACTTGCTGTGTTGTAAGAATGACAAATTTCTGAAAGATAAGCATTGTTTAAACCTGGGCTACGATACCTGTACCTCATGGCCCAACAGATCTAATTTCAGTAAATGTCTGATTAATCATGTGATTGCCAGATTTATTTAGTATAGGCTGTACTGATCAAATTTGAAATAGAAGAAGACACTTGGTGTGATAATTGAGACCTGTGGGGAATAGTCAGTAATGCATCATGCATTGTTTGGGGACTGAAGTTGCTAACAGAGTTGCATCTAATTCTGTCTGACTATGGAAACCCTACAGCTAGCTGAGTTGGAACACAGTGGCTTTTGTGTCTTCTTTGTGTTCTGCCATTTTTAAAAAAAATCTTAACTCTCAGTGATGGAAAAGAAAGCTGTTGTAATAAATTAAAATTCATGCTTAAGCTGTGGTTTAATCTATATTTATTCTTCCTTTTTTTCCCCCAGAAATATTGAGGAGATCCTGGCTGCCAGAGGAGAAGAAGTGAAAAAGATAACAGATCTGGATATACCTGAGAACCTGTTAGATATACTGAATACAAGACCAGAAAATAGTGAATAATTTTACAAGCACTTTTGATCAGCACTTATACTGAAGGGGAAGAAGAAAGTGGAAGCTGTATAGTACAGTGTGTTAACTGTACATAGGACACCTTGATTCACATGTGCCGCCTCAGAACAAATAAGACCCCATGTGGGTTCTAGGGTCCAGGTGTGAGAGAGAGAGAGAGAACAGTTAAGTTGAGTCAAGAATTGACATCACAGCATTCTGGGCATTCCCATGCTTGCTCCGTCCTCATCTTCAGCAGCCAGCGCAGAGTTTCAACACTGATTGTACCAGTCACAATCTGGTTATACAAGGTCCGACAATTAAGTAATGAGACTGATTTTATTACAGCCAAGACAAAAATGTCAACTCTGAAGCAAAGCATGGAATCTAAAGAGGCAACATTCATCTATGATCTGACAACTTTGTTCAAGGTCGTTTCAATGTTTGTTAGATCGTGCCACTTGCTGTATCAATGCACAAGGGGCTTACTTTGAATCAGATACAGGTTATATCTTCAACTGTTGATTATTTTATTTTTTATGGAATTAGTCTCATTACTTAGTTCTCAGACCTTGTATGTCCTTTCCTCTAAGTGTAGTGAGCCGGCCAGACCCTCTGGTTACACCCAGGTGCCTCATTCTCTCCAGGCAATAATAATCTTGTTTCTCTACTGGTTTCATTGCTTGTTCCCAAAAGACCTTGACCACATCTGCCTTGTCTTCTTCTTCTTCTTCGCGTTCACTAGCTGTAAACTGGCGTAAAGTTCTGGTTGTTCGTCCACTTCTGGGCTGCAGTCCTGCTCCAGAACCTGAGTGTTGCGTGTGCATCAGTTTTACAGATCTGATTCAATTGAATGCAGTCTGCTGGTTCCTTGCCTCTCAGGCAGATGCACTCCGACTTCAAAGGAAGCTTCCCAGTTAGTCGACTCTTACGACATGCTTTTGGGTAGGCAGTGGGTCTATTCTTGTTTTCCCCCACAATAGGGCCCCGGAACCCACACGGGGAATCTTCCTTGTCATGTAGAGAGAGAACATAGACTAAGTGCCCCCCCCCCCCCTTCATTTAATAAGCTTGAGTTCCTATGCAGTTACAACAATGGATGCCAGTCACTACAAATTGGTCCCCAGCTATTTAAAAAAAGCAGTTGTATAATTTCTTGGAACGTCAAGTTATCTGTTTATACATATTGGTCTCACTCTTCGTTTTCGTGAGAGTAATTAAAAGCAAGCAAGAAAGTTGATTAAAATGGACAATAACTATAAAAGGTTTTGTTTCTTTGCTCATTTTATAAAAAAGGAATTTGCCAAATTATTTTCACAATAATTTGTTTGGGGGTCAGTATTAAAACTTGGTATAGTCTACAGTCCCCATGTGGGTTCCGGTGCCCCATCTTATGGGGAAGGGATAGACCTGCTGCCCCTTAATAAGCATATTGTAAAAGGTGATTGATTAGACATTGACTGAAATTAGATTTGTTGGACCAGGAGGCACGTGTATCATAGCCCAGCTTTAAACAACAGACAAGTATGTTATAGTGAAGCAAATGAACTATGGATAATTAAGACTTAGGACCGTTACTGCTCTTCCTACTAAAAAAGCGTGAGCTGAGATTTAGAGACCATGTGTTTCCCATAAGACATTATCCCTCGTTCAGCCTGCCTTGTTTACCCCAAAGGAAAGGTAATACTAATACTTTTGAAACAAAGCAGGCTGCAGAGGCTGCCAGATCAGAAAAGAAGTACTCTATCTGTCTACATGTCGGAGCTTCCCTCCCAGAACAAGACTGTCAGATGGGTCTTCCCTGCTATAATATTATTTTCAGGTTGCATTTTCTTGTCCTTAAATAGGTAGAGCTAGTCTCCATCCTAATGCGCTCCCCCGCCCGAAATTGTCGGTACAATGGAGGATGTCAGGTTTGGAATATGCCGCCAATATTCGGGGTCAACAGAGACAGTGTTGAATGCTGTTCTACTTTAGCTCGGTCATGTTAGTCTGAAATAAAATAATCAAAACAACTATCTTTATAAAGTAAAGGACCCTTTTCCACACCTTCATGTGTATTGGACATATTAGACCTATATTTTATAGACTAATCGGCTCTTGGTGGGTGATGTAGTCACCATCCCACAGGCTGCCTTTACTTCCCAGCACTGCACCTGGTACCCACTCAAGTCTGGTTGACCTGGGAGCCAAGGTCATTTTTTGAAAAAAGTCAGCACCCGAATCCACGACCTTGTTATCTTAGAGCCCCTTGGATTTCATAGACTATGAAACTGTAGTTTAAAAAGACTTTCAGACCATCTGCTGAACTATACATTTCAACAAAGAAAAAAAAAAAGAAGTTAAGAAAAAGTATGAATCATCTTGCAGGAAAAACTTTGACACAGGATACAAATATAAAAACTGTCATAATGACGCTTGAAGCTATCACATCCGAACAATAAATTAGCTGTCCAGAGTTATCTCATACAGCTCTGGAAGTCCTGAGAATAATCCCCCCCCCCCCCTCTTCCCTTTCCAAAAAAAACTGACAGATCACTTTCACCTTATATACTCAAGAATCAGTATCTTTCCTTTTTTTTTTTTTTGGTTCACCAGCAGGAAAGTCCTGTTTGTTTAACCATTTGGACTTTGGCTTTGTTCCGGCGCCTGGGTTGTGCATTTACATCCCTTTTACTGGTTTATTTGTATGGAGTTGGTTGTTCTTTGCTGTTCAGACAGTTGCACTCCGACTTGAAAGGAAGCCCCCAATTAGTCAGTCATACGCCCTGCTTGTTGGGGAGGCAGTGTGTCTGTTCTTGTTTTCCTATCAATGAGCCCCCAAAACCCAACGGGGAAGTATCCTTCCAACATTTGGACACATGGGTTCATAGAAAGTTTTGCTAAAGAAGCTACCACACAAAAAAGAGAAGTGGATGGATCTACATTGCACACCCTAACGGCAACACAGAGACGCACTTAACCAGTTTCAGAACATGCGCGACAACACTGATTTCAACTTTGCTTACTATAACCCAGTTTACTTTTATAAAAAGCTGTTATATTCAAAGACTCAAAATCACCACACCCTCCCCCACCCCCCCCCCCAATGCATTTCATACTACTAATAGGACATCATCATCTATGAAATAATATTAAAAATAAAAGTCAGAACGCTGTTCACAAGAACAGAACTAATCCAGTAATGGATTCCAGCCAACTGTAGAATATACATTGCATATATGGGAAGGCATATAAAGTCAATACGGTTTTAGGAAACTTACGCATCTCCATTTGTCTCATGGCTATAAAATGCGAAGGACACTCTAACGACAGTCTATGAAATTGATGAAAGGTTCAAGTGTCAGATTAGAACATTTTGTATGGAGTGGTAGGAAAAACTACAAAGAAATGGCATGACATCATTCCATTTGTTTAATTACATAAGGTATATTTCAAAGCATGAATAGAGTCGAAAACTGGCAGGAATGGTTGAAAAATCGCAGAGGGGAAGCAGAGATAAACACCTTGATGGTTTGGCCATCATGCACTGACATCAAGATCACTGACCTGATTCGTGATTCCCTGATTGTGTAGAATGTCAGAACATGACCACATTTGCTTATCGACATGTAACATAATAAAAAGGTTCCTCAGAAGGTAACAACTGTGATATAAAGATCAACGTAGACAAAACAGAAGTGATGACAATCTCCAGAAAAGGAAGAACCACTAGTATCAAACAGCCGGCGTTATGCTGACCACATTACCCACCGAGTGCTGATGGTATGTAAAAATATGGGCGCTCTTCCCATATGCCTGATAGGCCTAAAGGTGTGGAAAAGGATCTTTACTTTACTAGTATCAAAACTTATGAACACCAGTTGAAGCAGGTGAAGGGTTTTACGTGTGTGGGTTCCGGGGCCCTGTTATAGGGAAAACAAGAATAGACCCACTGCCTACCCAAAAGCATGACGTAAGAGTCGACTATTCGTGAGCTTCCTTCAAAGTTGGAGTGCATCTGCCTGAGAGGCAAGGAACCAAAAGTCTGCATACAAATGAGTCAGATTTATCAAACGGATCACTCAGCACTCAAGTTCTGGAACAAAAGGGATGAAAAACCAGAACTTTCCGCCAGAGTTTACAGCTGGTGAATGCGCAGAAGCAGACATATCTTGAGAGCATTTTTTAAGAAGACAGAAGAATGAATAAAGAAAGCCAACAGAGATGCAATAAGGCCAATCAATTTTTAGCCTAATGGCACCAAATTTTGAAATGCAAAAAATATGAAAATGAACACTAAAAGAACACTGTTCACCACAATATTCTTACCAATGCTATGCTATCAATGTCAAACATGGACACTGTCTTCAGAAGACAGAAGGAAAATAGTCACGACAGAAATGAAGTGTTTACGTACTTTGTTATATGTAAGAGTAAAGATCGGCTTAGGAACTATGAAATCAGGAGGAGAATAAGCACAGAACCAATACTGAACTTTATAGGTAAACAACAAATCAAATGGTTTGGCCATGTAACAAGACTGTCACCAGACAGGGCACCACAGAGAGCAATGTTATACAGATACAGAGGTCGACCAAGTAGAAGATGGACCGCAGAAATATCAGAGACACTGAAAAGTACTTTAAACGAAGCGAATAGAAGGGCCAGTTACAGGGATCTGTTCCTGCCGCTAGGAATTCCAGGAGTAGAGAACAGAAAACAATTTTGATGATAATGCTATTTCCAGAGACTGATTTTTCTAAATCGAGAAGGGGTGGTGAGCAAAAACAATTTGGGAAACTCTGTGCTAGACCTTTTATTCTATAGACCAATCGGCGGCACTCTTCCGAATAACTTGGCTCCCAGGTTGTATACCCAACTCGCCTTTCTATTGAGTGATAAGTATCGATCAGATACCCCGGTTCATTCTCTCCCAAAGGATCCTTACACGTGGTGCAGAACCAGTCAGTCTGCCCGCCTGTTTGTTTCCCAATACACCAACATACCCTGAAGAAAATATCAAAAGGACG